AGCTTTATTATGGTACGCTACACTGGATACAGATACAAAGACACTGTTAAAAGAAGATTAACTAAACACAGCAGTTGTCTGGCATCAAGAGCTTTTCAAGTTTTACGGCCTGAATCTGGAGGGATAATGATCTGCTGTGCCTTTGCAGTCACTGCTTAGCCCAAAGTAATATTACTTTTGCTAATACTCAACACATGAATATTCCTGAAGTAATTCAGTCTCAAAAGTCTGGAATTTTGCTCCTCAATTACCTTTCTAATTTTTGGACATGCAGTTGTCTCCAAACTTGGGTGTTCATGGGATTTCTAGTTAACACCTACACTTTGATACTGAAGACTGCCAAATATGTAGGAATTTCCTTTCTTAAAGCAGTAGTGAAGACTGTATCTATCCTTTCCCAGCACTGAATGTTTTAATAGCACTGGGTGCTCACCATGAAGAAAATGTGGAAACTCAAAAGGTCAGGACAGACTCTAAGCACTTGCAACTGATGTTACTGACATCAATTTTAATAATTCTCAATATTTGTAGTTTTCAGAGAAGTTTTTAATATTTCTCTGTCCACTTTTATAAGCTTTAAAATGATTCTCCGCCTTGAGACTTGCATCAAGAAAAAAGCAACTCTCTTCACATCGAAAGCTTTGAAGACTAGGGACATGCTTTACACATTTTAGAAGATGTGGTTGAATCCACATTAGATAGCATCAGTTGTTGAGTTTAAAAATCAATTATTGTTGCAATTTTAAAAGGAACATAATGTTTAATATTCAAACGATAACAGTTGCCAGAATGTTCTTTTTAATATAAAAGGAACAGGAACTTCGAAAAGTGAACATGCAGAACAGTCTTTTATCATTAGCTCATGTATTTGAGGAAGAGCAGCTGTCTTTTCTATGTTTTTTGACAAATCATATTGTAATTCTTTTGTACAAAAAAAAGAAGTACTTGTATTCTAGAAGAAATGTGGAATGCTTAATTTATAAGCGGGCTGAGGTTTTTTCCAGTATTGTTTTCTTTGAAAATGAAAGGGGATCATCTGTTCAGTTGTGGGGTTTGGGAACCTTTGAAAATTTAATTTGTGGACCAATATTTTGTGGAAGTGTAAGGCAGGGGTAAAATAGGGCTTGAATTCTCATCCTTTTTAGACCAGCACACCCTCTGCAAGACATGTCTAAATTGCAAACCTGTGTGTATTTGCATAATGTCAGTTTGCTTCAGCCCCTAGTAACCTCAGGACTTGGTTTAAAAATAAAAAGGTAGACAGCTAATAAGTTTTCATACATAATGTCAGCCAGAAAATATTTGGTGTCAGGTAATACATAAAATTAAAAAGAAGTTGAGTTTTGTTTTCTATTTATTTTATTTGGTCTGTATTTGGGAATGATTTGAACAGTCTGAAGTTCAGCTTGGGTGTTTTTTTGGGGAGAGCCCTTCTACCCCACTTTAATTCCATTTAGAAGGTTGTCCTAAAGTTGTAGTTTGATCCATTCATAGGAAGAACAGTGTATCTGCATTTAAAAGAAGAGTCACCAGGATGTGCCCTCCCAGATGGGAAATTTATTTCTGACCTTCCTATTTTTTACAGCTAAAAGCACAGAAGGGACAACCTTTGAAATCATCTGATGTTGGTCATTTTAATTTTTGTACCTGTTTTAAATTCTGTTGCTGTATTTACTATATTGTAAATATTTTGTTGAGGGTACCTATGTATTTTTGATTTGCCCTTGTTTCGGTAATTCAGGTGTCAACTGCTTCCCCTAAAAAGCACCAGTATGTTAAGTTCTAATGTCATGATCCCAGTATGTGTTACTCATCTTTAATCCTGTTTTCATTGTTCATGTGTACAGCAGTATTTTTAATAAAGAATACCAGAAGTAACGTGGCCTTATTTTGACAATGCGAAGTTCTGAAGTTGGATCCAGGGCTTTTCAGCTTTGGTGCTGGAATTTTATTTCATTCTATCTCGTACTTCTTTTGTATTCATTCTGTCTTCAATGCAGAGTTTCAACAAACAGGAGTCACAAATTGTGTTTAATGCTTGCCACTTAGATTGTATCAGATGTCCTAAAACTGAGAGATACTGTTCACTAGAATTGTATTAATGCATATTTTCATAATTCCTAAATCCAATCCCATCTGCTTCAGTTTGATCAAGTCTGCTTTACTTGATAAGCTCTACTTTTGAAAACTCAAGTACCCTTTCTTCCATGTTTTCTGAGCTTTTTTTGCTCAGTATCAAAGTGTGTTAATTTCTCTGAGAATCTGCACATGAAGTCACAATAACTTCATTTCCTAAAATTCTTTTCCTGTATTTTTAGCCAACAAAGGTTACATGATCTGCTGGTAGGATAAAGTCTCCTTTATCCATCCAGTGCTGACCATGCTTATGGAAGATGTAATTTTGAGTAATATGTTGTGAATTGTCAATAGTCCCTGCACATAATTAACAAGGAGTCATTATAGCTGAAATTGCAGTGTTTTAGGAATGTTATTATGTAAGCTGCAAAAAGTTTGATTGATGCACATACCCAGTCTCCAGTTTCCTCCTTAGTAACGTGCAGCAACAACTACACAACTCCTGCAGCAGTTGATCCCATTGTGTTCTGCTTTCCCAGAAAAAGTTTCATCTCTGCTTCCTTCCAGCACTTGGAGAGCCCCTCAGATGATGAAATGCTGTTTAGCAGAGAGCACTTGATTGAATATCTCTGTGGAGGCAGCGCATCCCCAGCTTCGGACGGATGGGGTGGGGATGTAGGGGTTCTCTGAAGAAGAGTCTCCACCCAGGACTAAGGTGCTGCCTGCCTGTCACAGCAGCTTCAGAACAGGCATTTTTGGGGACACGTTAGCTCTGTTTGCTGTCCTCTTGTCTGGTGTGCATCTTCTAGCTGCTGAAGGAGCCAGGAATGGTGGGTGGTTGGGTGGATGTTTCTCCATGTGCTGCTTTGTCTTCTGTCACCATGAAACCTTGCCTCTCCCAGAGGCTGAGTTTGAATTTTTGTCTCTAGACAGCAGTAAGCACTTCCTAAATATGCTGAACCTAGGGGATGTCACCCACACAGGCAGCAGTGACAGATGTCTGTCACTGTATCTGCTTTGCTGTGCAAGAAGTGTGCCTTCTGTGTGATTATTCCATGTTCTCCTTTGCTCACAAAATTAGCCTGTGGGATGGATATGTGCCAGATGTTTGCACTACCCAGTGCTGACTTGTGTCCCACAGCAGTCTTTGACACTGTCAGAACTCTGATTTTATTTTTTTTTTAAAGCAAACTTTATTATATGAATTTAGCAGTCAAATACATTATATAAAGAGAGAAAATGCGAGACAAAATAGGAGTTATTCACATCTGAAGACACTTGGGATTCATATAAAAGTAATCTTTGTAGTCCAGTTTTCTTAAATACTTATGCACAAAAGCATATTTATATATTTACACTGTGCAAATGTGTCATTTGAGATGCATCATTCTGTAACTCTCCTCGCTCAATCTAGTAAGAAAACAGTTCTGAAACTTTTGCTTTGATCAAGGTCAAATATACTTTACCAGCAAGAGACAGTGCAGTAGATACTTAAAACTGATGATCTCTTGTGCAGAGATACTTAGCTCAGAAGTAGTGGTACATATTTATTTTGCTTGAATGTCAAAGATAGTTTTTATTTGTAAATATGCGACAGGTCAGTTGCCTTAAAGTCTGTTAGTGGGTTACATTCACAGTTCTTTAGCTGAATTCTGAGAGATCAAGAGATCATATAACATGTAGCATCTGAGTTAATACATTTTTATTCCTGTACATGCTGGTAACTTAACAGAAATTTTGATATCTTCATAGAAAAGCTGCCCTAACTTTACAGACTGTCTTGTAACTTCTAACTAATCTCTTCAAAGTCTCTAGTGATCAATTAAAAGTATGTGCTGTCCAGTAGTTATCCTGTCTTTGCAGACATAAATAAAATCAGTGCAGTGTTAGAAGGTCCATGAGGTTTTGTGGACAGAGCTTGGCTTTTATCTATCTACCTTGTGGTTTGGTTCCAGTGTGTGTGTGTTGGTTTACTGACAAAGTGCAAAACTTCAATATTTACTTGATTTCACCAGGATTGTCCAAACTGAATTGGTATGTATTCCCTGTTGTTACAGCCCTGGATCTGGTCTTAGTTGTCCTCTATCCTTGCCAATTGTGTTTAGCAACACATTTTAAATTCTTGCCTTGCAAGGCTCCCTACTGCATCTGCCATCTGGAGCAGTAAGGTCCATATAATGCCCCATCCCCAGTTAGCTTATTCAGCTTCCCCAGAGCATCAGCCTTCCCACAAGTTTCTCCAGGTAATTTTCATTAAAAATAAAGTTTGTGGTGTCTTTCTAGTTTCTGTCTTCTTGAAGGCTTCTTTATTTTCCAGTACAACACATACCCCAGCAATAGGATGCAGATACCTCAGTGCCTTGTGTAGATTCCCGGCTCTCTGGGGCTCCCAGCTGCCTCTCCCAGTCAGGACAGAAATGACCCGAGTCTGAGCAGAGGCTGTAATAATGACCTGCCAGGTTTTCCTGGATGCAGAAGCACTTGGCATTTTTAGCAAAAGCTATATGTGTTGAGCATTTGGAAAAGTCAAGGTTTAAGCAATAATACTTTGCTGTATTTTGAGTACATGTGCTGCAGTCTGTAGAAAAGATCACTGGGATTAAGCCAGGGATAACTTTTTAAGTTTGATAATACTTAAAATTATTTGGGTCAGAGTTTTAAACTGATAGTGTTTCATAAGAACCTGCCTGTTTACAGCTTGGCCTAGGAGTACTTAAACTGGTGGCTGAGAATAATGGACAACAGAATTGTAGTCAGGAGGAGGAGAACGGCTGGCATACATTTTCTCCAGCATTGCATAACCACAGGTGTATCTTCGCTTGGAGTCACTGAGCTGGTCACAGCTGAAGCTGCAGAAGCTTCTTGGCTTGGTTATTCCAGAGAGCACCGACTCCTTGCTCCTGCTGGCACCTTTAACGCTGTAATGGAGCAGTGTCATTGTGAGCTTTCTTAACACATAAAGGTTTTTGTTTTAGTGACTTGAGCAAAGCCACATCACAAGAAGCAGCTTTGTTTATTCTCATGTGGTGGGAAGGGCACTGATGCAGATGGACTTGCTCAATGGGAGTGCAGAACAGAGGAATGAAGGAGCCCTCCTGTGTTCCCTGTGAGTCCCCCTTAGAAAAGAGGTGCTGTGAGTGATCCTCACTGTTAAAGGTTCATTGTATCAGTCTCTGCTTGTGGGGAGTACTTGACTGTCCAGCCTAAGCTCTAATTGCTCATTTGTGGCATGTGTTGGGGAGTGAAACTTTATTGCAGGGTGAAGTAGTTGGCAGTGTCTGGCAGCTCTGCTGAGGCAGAGTATCCCCACACCTAAATGTTTCTTCGTAAGGGAAAAGGGGTTTTTGAGCAGGAGTGAAGTGATGCAAGGCCTCAAGCCTTGAGGCAAAAGTAGAAAACTACTAATGCAGTTGTTCCCAAAGCTAATGGTGGGATGAATTTCTAATAGAAATGGCTGATGTGTATGAGGAAGGGCATGAGGTCTGGCTATCTCCTCTTTTTTGGCTTCTTTTGGCAACTGCCATGAGCTGCTGGTTTGAATTAGAGTTTTTCTCTCCCATAAAAGGACCAGTTATCCTGTAGGCTGCCTTTTATAAGATGTCCTTTACAAAGAGGAGTTTAATATCTTCTCAGCAAAGCCACTTTTAAAGGCACTGTTTGCCTTACGGCACTTTCTCACCCATATTCAAGATCTCAGAAAGACATCAGAAAGGGCTCTTTCAATAATGAAGAAAATTAGGGGCAAAGAGAATTTTCACACCATTGAACTTGGATTCCAAAGATTTATCTGTAGACAAAAGGACAAGCCAGAGCATTTTTCCATCATTGTTTACATGTGAAATCCTAAAGTAAATGTGTTGGACCACAGTGTCTAAAATTAGATTTCCTCTCCTGTATTTTTATAAGTTCATGGACAATCCACTCCTCTTCATTTATAAGGTCAGAAACATTGGCAGCCCTAGTCCTGAATGCCAGAGAAGACAGAGCACCTGTTGAGGCTGCAGAGGCCAGGGTTTTGTTTTTCATTTTATTTTGCACTGTTAGGACTCTAAGTCAAACTACAGAAACAGTAGCACAGGACCATTGGTGATTACAAGTTCCTCTTAGATGTCACAGTTTCTCAAATTCTTAACAAACAACCTGTGTGGTTTTTTAAGGAGTGTGGTCTCTGCCTTCTGTCCTACCATAGGAAATTGGAAGGTCTCCCTAAGAAGACCACCCCTTTACATTTATTAGTAGATGAATGAACTTCATGAGGAGGAGCCCTTGTGATGAGGATTGCAGATGCATCCCATATTTTTATATTGCATCTGTTGGCAGATGGAGAAGTAATTGCCTTGGGATAAATTCCATAACTATGACAAGGTTAGTCACAGACGCAATGGACTATTTGTGATGGGTTTAAAGAGAAATGCCTCTGTGATTTACATTGTAATTGTGAGTCTTTGGGAGCTGGCAGATGTGGAGTGTGCATGACAAGTTATGAGCCTAAGAGCTGTCATGCTTTCATCCTTTCATCATCATCAGGCTTTTGCATCATGAGATTTTTCTTGCGAGCTAGACTTGGCTTCTGCTTTAATAAACTTTTATACCAGTAGAGCTGCATCTATTAATTTTACCTGGAGTGCAGTGCTGTGTCTGGGCATGCAATTCCCACAAAGAACTTTGAGGAAGCTCATGGGGTTTTGGAATCTGTAGTCAGGCTTCATTTTGAGAATGAGTTTATAGGCTTCTCTAGCTGTGGACTATCATCTTGCCAATCTAAGAATGTAAACTGTGTTTACTTGGTCTTTAATTGGGGTTGTTTGTTGGAGGAAATGGCTGCTGGTTTTCTGCCATGTTCAGGACCAGTGCGAGGTTAGAAACTGGCTGCAGCTCTTGAGATGCTTGTTCCAGCTCACAGGAGGTAGAATTCTTGCTCTTTTTCTGGCTTTGCAATTTACACTGGCTCAAGGGTTTGCCTCAGCCCAAGGATTTTGGCTTACTGGGGTTGGGTTTTTTCATCAGTATTGAAAAGCTAGAAAAGGGTTGCAGTTGGGATCCTTTCCACCTGCAAAGGAGCACAGCTCAGAAAATTGCCCCCAGACCTTTCTATCAGGGTCTCTTTACCTGAGGCCTTATACTAGGAAAAACTTCCTGCTGTTCAAAATACCGTTTTTTGTCTCAGCAGCATTAGCAAGTCCAAGACATGTTGCAACCATTTCTATTTCATGCTCCTGTCCACCACCTGGGCCTAAGGTGTTCACCATGGTTTGGGCTGATGCTCTTTCCTGTAGTGAAACCAAGAGTGAGCTTTGGCATTAGCGCCTTTCCCTAGGCAGGAGAAGTGGAAGCCCAAGAGGAGGCACCTCACCAGGATCAGTGGGGTACCCCTGCTCTGTCAGGCTGGCTCCCTGCTCTGCCCTGGGCCTGGCTCTTGGCTTGGTCACACTGAGCAAGCACTGCTGTACCTGCTGGCTCTCTCCTGCACTCAACTGATCAGTTTCCTCTGCAACAAACCTTGGGTGTGCTTCTGGAGACAGGTAGGGTGCTTTGTGTTTGGCTTCTGACACACTATGCAGTTCTTCAGCTCTGCCCAGTCTGAATCTTCCAATGCTTTCTTACAGCAAAGGGATCCAACCATAAGTATGCTGCTGCCAAAGGGAGGTGAAACCCTTCTGCAGTCTGGTGCTGGCACCAGCTGCCCTGACAGTGAGCTACTACTGCTCACTCAGAAACTGTTTTGACAGTTTGGCAACCTGAATCAGCTCCCTGCAGGAATAGCCAAGCTGAAATGTCAGCACAAGAGTGAGCACAGGAATGCAGAGCAGGATGCCTGCAATGCAAGGGAAGAAGCAGGACTGTGCATCTGCTTAGATCAGTTTCCATGGCTCAAACCCCTCCAGGCTCCACCTTGCTCAGTACAAATTTTAGGGGTATTTATTTACTGCCCCAATCAATTTTAAGTGAAGGATGCTTAGCTAAGATGCTACCACTTTTAGGAATATGTGCAGACTGAAGGGTCACTGCCTGCATTTGCATCCATGAGTGCTTTTTGGCGCAGCGATGCAGTACCACTTGTTTAGCTTGCAGGCCAGATGACCTTGTATGATCTCAGTCAACTGCTCTGTTCTCCCAAGGATTTATGTTCTAGCAGCCACTGTTCAGTTAATTTTTTTTTCTTATCCAAGCATTCCTTTTCTGTCTGCTTTTGAAAGTGCTCCTTAAAGCACTGCCAGAGGGATGCTTGGGACACACTCCATGCATTCTGTGCCATGCAAAGAAAAAGGCATTTCATAAATTTAATTTGGGGAGTATGCCATGTTGTCTGTGTGGCTGACAGCAGCCTTCAGAAATACACACGGAAAAAAAGATTGAAACCACTTCTAGGAGGGAACATTGCATCCTTTGGAACTCGTAATATGAACATACACTCCAAGCTCAACAGTCCCTGGCTCCTCCAATGACAGCATGCTGCAACAGAGCTGAAGTACCATAAAACTGCTCAGGAGCCTATTCTCTGAAAGGTCAAGGCAGGAGAAAGGGTTTCCCAGCATTTGTTCGGAGTGGTTTGTGTTGCCCTGGCTTTGCCATGCATGAGCAGCGCTCCACTGCAGGCTGCTGCCAGCAGCACATTTACCCAGGCCGTGCTTTCCAGCCCTGTGAGTGTGTGCGCTCTCCTACACGTATTTCTGTGCCTTCAACCAACGCCCTCTAAGTCAGTGGAATTTTTTGTGAAGCGAGTCCTCTCTGCCTTGACTGCACGTTTCAGCCAGCTCTGATTGTTCTCTGAGACAATGCTACACCTCCCAGCCTGCCCAACTGCAAGGCACTGACAAGTTTGGCACTGGCAGGATGGCAGGCTGGCCTTGACCTCCTGCCAGCATGAGATGAACGATGGGTTGGGTCTGGACAGTCTCCGGGCTGGCTGGGAGCAGTGAGCTGAAACCAGGACACTGCCAGCGGCTGGGAACTGATACAGCGCCGGCATTGAGAAAATAAACACTTCCCATTTACAGGGAGTTCATGTCGGTGCAACTCATTTCTTAGAGCAGCCCTAGTTCCCTGCTTGGGCAGCTGTCAGGAATTAGGTGGAGGAAGATGGCCAATATATTCAAGTGCTTAAAGGCAGGAAGAGAAGTGAGGCCCTCACATCCATCTATTGTAAAGTTGCCACTTTAGCATCCTGAGCCCATGGGTGTTAAATGGGCCGTGCTTAGCTGAGTCATGGAAAAGAAGGGCAAAAACAAGCACAGAGGGCCTTGTCCCAGCTGGGGTGCCCTTGGGACTTGCAGAAATAACTGCAAATCCTTCACAGCCACACGTTCCTCATCCCCTATTATTAAGGGCTGCTTTCCTACAGTTACCTGCCTCTTACCTTAGTTCAGTGCCCTCTGACACTGGCATTAAATTGGGCATTAGGTGGATCAGTAAGAGCTAATAAATCATGTTGCTGATGTGCATCGAAGGGGTTGAGGGTTATTTGCTTCCTCAAAGACATAGGCGTGGAAGATGATTGACTGCTGATTCAACCAAGCAGGACATACCTCAGGAAGAGTATTTGCAGGGACTGGGGACACCTCAGCTACTTTCACAAGGCATGATTTAGCACAAGGACCTTGGCTTCTCCTTTGCCATCTAAAACCTGAGAGGAAGGGAACGTAAAATACAGACCCAAAGAGTGTCCTTTTCTGCTTGCTGCCTGTCCATGTGAAGCGCTTCAGTTCCTCTGGAGCCAGCACCATCCCGCTGTCTGCTTGATAATCCTTCAACAAAAAAGATGCAGTCCTGTTAGGTGTTAACTGTACTTTACAAAGGACTCAGTTCCTCTTTGGTCTGATTTCCAGCATCCTTCTGAGCATGGATACTGAGACAGCTCTAGAAGACAGCATCTCTGTGCTGCTGCAGGTGCTGCAGTGCACAGGTATTTAACGGTGCCTTTTCAAACCACCCATGCCTTGGGGTGCAGCAGACAGGTAATGTTAATACAGATCTTGGGTGCTAGAAGTGTCTACATGCAGTCTGAGGCTCTGGCCAGCCACCAACCCTGTGAGGACCACTGTGCCTTTCCCACCTCCTGCTGCTTAATGCATTCTATTGGGTCACTAAAAGCTTGTCCCAGGCTCTTGCCTATGCCCGTCTCTACAAGGATCGAGTGTGTGTCCCACTGTTAGACATGGCTCCAGCTTGTCCATCTGATAACAGGACTTGTTCCTACCAGGGACTTCTGATGGAAAAAGGACTCACAGACCTCCTTTGTGCACTACTATTCAGATGGAAGTCATATCCAAGGGATTTTAAGTGTCTCTCCCACACCAGTGGGATTCAGGTGGGACTCGGGAAGCTGTACCTACTGGAACTGACCGCTTCTTGTCAGGGAAGGAGTGTTTGCAGCCCATGACATGACCAGCAAGAATCTCTGGCCCCAATTTGCAGGGCAGTGGGATAACCTCTTGTTGCACGTACAGCTAATCCTGCACCTTGTATCAGAGCTGACAAGGCACTAACCCCCCCCATCCTGATTATCCCTGTATAAATCTGTCACATACATAAATAAAAAGAAATACATGGCATATAATTTGGCCCAGGAGTCACTTACATTAAATACAAGTGTTTCCTTGATGGGAAGCTCTTCAAATGTCTTTATGCGCTCTGGGGGGTTTATTTTGAAGGTGTTTATGTATCTGTTCAACAAGAGAAGCAAGACAATTTTTGGTGAGAGTGTGAAGTGCACAGACAGAAAGTGTTGGGTATTTCTCTGTTTCTTTAGGCAATTCTTAGCTGTCTTCCATGTAGGTCATACAAAAGGGACTGGTTAACCAGACCACACCCAAATCTCACTCACCAGTCCCGGGATGCACACAGCTGTGCCTCTTACAGGGCCTGAGCCGTGTGACTTGCAGGTCTTCCTGGGAAAGGGCACTCCCAAGAGCCACAGGAGTGGATGACTTGGCAACTGCTGGGACACTCAGGCCACCTGTGGGCTGGCTATGCAGCGAGCTACCCCCCACAACAAACAAACAGTCTTAATCTTGCTTATCTCACCTGACATTTTCAGTGCTTCCACAACTTGAGCTTGTAACAGGAAATTTTTCATTGCACAAAGGATCAGATGCAGGGGGAGACCCACTTTCTGTTGTAAATATTGTGCTGAGGGGTATGTAGTCTTTACCTTCCTAAATGCACACAAGAAATGAAAGCGTTATTCCTGGGTCCACGTTGTCCCTGCTTTGGTGACAGCACGTGGTTGTGACATTAATACCTGCTGGACATTTGCTTGCAGCAGGTCACCCAGCCTTTTCACCAGCTCAGAGAACCGTGGCCTGTCGTTGGGATTGCTCTTCCAGCAGTCCAGCATGATTTGGTAACTGTGAGGACAACAGCAAAGTGAGCACATGGTGGGGTTACAGCTCTGTTTGATCTCAGGCAGCGCAGTCTTTGACAGCTTGGCATTGATAGACAGACATAGATAGAAAACTCCTCAACTTGCTTGGATTTACAAAGATTCCCTCTAACACCATCGAGGCTTCTTCCTCAAAGTGAAGCAGTAAACTTTCCACAAAAAAAGAAAACCTTCCTGCAACACCCCAGAAGACCACATCAAAAGGATAATTCAGCCAAGCAGTCATACTTCCTTTATTTCATTCCCAATTAAGCATTAAACCTTTGTATTAAACATCTATTAACTGACAATGTTTAGGTTAAGGTATCCTAAAGGCATCCAAAGATGACTTATATGGATGTGTCACTTCCTTGTATTGGTTGAGCCGAGCTTTCCTTCCTGCAATAAAATATGTGGAAGAGAAAAAAAAAAAACAAAAACTCTTATCTACTGTCACTAGGATAATAAAATTAGTCAATGGGCAATACTCCCAGATAGGCATGGCTGGCTTGCATCCTTTTCTTCTGCTAGAACTATTTTTTGGTAAGTGTTGCTATTTAGAGTCATGACATAGCACTCGGGGAGGCACCCACACGCACTTGATTTTGCCTGCAGAGGTAAAATACCCTGGACATGTTCATGGTCCTCAATTATTTGTGTCACAGGGTGAACGTTCAGTGTGCTGCATGTGCCTTCCCAGGCAAGCTGCTCTGTTCTGACCCACCTTGGTCTCCAAAGAGGTGTTGAGACTGCACCTGGAGGCAGGGGAGTGGGGAGTGGCGGTGGACAGACTCAGACAACCTGGGCGGGGAGGCTGTGGGTCCCTGTCACCTTCCTCTGCCATCAGACATGGTGCACAGGAAAGGGTGGGCCCTCATTACCCAAATGATTGCGAGGAAGCCTCTGCTGTCACTTCCTAAGTCAAGATGATGTTAACAAAGCCACATTCCTCCAGCATTTATCTGTGTGCATGTCGGTAAATATTAAACCTGGCAAGGAATGAATGACCTTCTCCTCCTCCTCCTCCTCCTCCTCCTCACTGCTCAGCTCCCCTCAGAGCACAGCCCTGGTGGTGCACTGGGCTCAGGTCCTTGTTGCCCCCCTACCCTCTCCTATGGGGGAGCCAGGGGCCAGGGTGGGGGGTGCACAAGAAGATACCGATGCAGGATTGGGGTTTTTTTTCCTTGGGCTGGCACAGGGTACTTTTAGAGACTGGAACATCATCTGCAGGGCAGCCAGGGAGGGCAGTGGCACACAAGGGAAGCAAAGGCATCTTACATCTCCTCGGTCGCTTGCTCGGGGGCTCGCATTCTTGTGCCTTCCTTCAGCCTGCTGCAGAAATCTTCGTCTATTTGGACTCCGGGGTAAGGAGAGGCACCTGGAGGTGACATTGGGAGAATAGATACATGCCTTGAGTACCTGTGACCTCGCTGTGGCCCTGTGGATGTCCCTCAAACGCTTGGGCTGTGCATCACCAGGTTGCAGAGCTGGGGGTCAGGGGCTGCCCCCCCAGCAGGGTCTGGCCCTGCAGGCTGCCAGAGGCAGGGAATTGCTGCTGGTCCTGCTCCAAGCCCCAGTCTTTGCAGGGGGGGCCAAGATCAAGACCACATCTATTAGTGGTGCTTTCCTGGCCTGAACAGAAAAAATGCTCATGAATTTGATTTGAACACTATCCCTTCAAAAGCCAGGTCTGATCTTTCTGTTGTTTTGGACTACTCTCAATTCTAATGACCACATTATGAACAAACCCCAAATGCCCAAAATCACCTTGAAGAAATTGAAAAAATTGTTTTAAAACAGATCACAGTACATTTGCATTGTTTTTCTCTTTTCTGTGTTTTTCAGATGCAGCCTGATTGTATTGTTGGTCTTTTTTTCTGTAGGCTAAAAACATCAGGAAAAGAGAAAATGAAAGGAAAAAAAAAAAAGACCTTTCATAGAGTCAGGGAGTCACCAGGTTCAAGGAGTTAGGGCTTTAAGAAAAAAATAGCAGGTATTATGAGGCTGACCATAAAATCATAAGAGTTGGCAGGCTGACCAACAACATGTATTTAAACTAATAAATGATTGATTGTCCTGAGAATTGTATAGTATTGTTTCCTCTGCTGTTCGCCTCTTTTGTCAGCCTCTGTGTTGAACTCAATTAAGATTCTTCTATTCTGACAGTCATTGTTATTCCCACTCAGTGTACATCTTGTATCCTGCCTTTTCCACATGAAAGAAAGGGGAAATAAAAGGCTTCACTGCATTTTAATTTCAGATTGCATGCTCTAGTTCGTCCTGCGGCATCAGTGCAGATGCTTTTCGCCTGCTGTGTCCAGTGGCCTGGGTGAGGGGGGTGCTGGATCCCTCCTGGGCTGGGGAGACCTCCTGGACTCGGGCTGGAGATGGAGGTGACAGAATCTGAGACATGCAAACTGTGGGTTTGGCTCTCTTCCTCCCACAAGAGGAATAAGAAGCTTTTGAGAGAACACTCAGCTCATGGTACTCGGTGTCTTGAAGGCTGGCTGTGGCACAGGAGGTGGTGCCTTGGTCTTGGGCAGCTGATGACCCAGAATCACAGCTCTGTGTGATCCCACAGGGCTCCACATTCAATTAAAATGCTTAAAAAATTGCCTGATTTTCCTGGCAAGTGCCATCAGTCAGACAAAGCACTGTGACTGTTCTGGCTGTGCTGCCCTGCATCCTCTGCCAAGGCTTTCTACAGGGAAAAGTGGGAAGCTTAGGTTTTGCCCGTGGCAGAAGTAGGCGGTAAAGTTCTCAGACAGCTGTCCTTTAAGGCTTTTAGCTTGGCAAATGAGCTTTCAGTGCTCTTAAAAGCAGCAAAATTTCTAGTTCACAGGAGCACAATAATCCCTCTGCCTCCGATTTAGGTCTTTCTGAAACACCTGCCAAAAGATCACTGAAGGTAATGGATGTTTTCCCTAGGCTGCAGTCCCCACACCTATCAAGCTCCTGGGGTGCAGAGTTAACGTACCCAAGGAAAATATCTCCCACAGCAAGACCCCGTAGGACCAGACGTCGCTTTTTGTATTGTAGATTTTATCAAATATGGATTCAGGAGCCATCCACTTGAGAGGAAGTCGAGCCTGGAGTAAAAGGGACAAATCTGACTTATTTTCAAAGCCTGAAAGATTTTAATCGTAGATGAATCAACTATATATTGTTATGTAAATAATTGCCATTCAAGCAGGAACCTGTGGGATTTCCTTACAGGCAGTCAAGATAAACCCACACTCATTCATACACTTAACAAATTGTTGGAGTAAAAGGCTGTTTTTAAAAAACATGTGGCACGAAACACCAGACTTTGGAAACCTGTGACCAGGCCTTTTCTTTACAGGGATGTGGGAGTGTGTAGGAGCAGAGGTCTCTTGCCAGCATCACAGAGACAGGGCAGAAAGCCCTGCATCCAAGCACCAACCATTCTGTAATGATGCTGGAGATATTCTTGGGGGCATTTTCAGAGCCAGAATTGCAGGAGCACATCAGCAACTCTCAGCACAACTTGTTGGGGTCTCCTGAGCAGTACCAAAGCTATGTGAACATTTCCCAGCTAATTTGCGATGCTGTAAATCCTGGAAGCCATCTACAGATGTGGGAATAGCTGGCAGGTGTGTGAGATCTCCAGAAAGAGACTCTGCATGACTTCAGTGCCCACACCAAATTCTCGAGGCATGGGTGGGTGCAAGCACCCACCCAAGTTTGCTGGCCCAGCCCTTCACAGCAGGGCTGGCAGGGCACTCGCTGCCTGCTCTCTGCAGCGGGGACAAAAAACACAGAGAAGATGCTGGAGGAGCAAGTCCTGCTCAGCTGCTTGGGGCACCACGAGCAGGGCTTGGCCTGGGAGCACTGCAGGGTACACCTTCTTTTGGAGGGACTGTTTTCCTTGAAGGAAGTTTACAGAGTGAGGGGGTTATGGTGAGCCAGCCAAGAGATGTCTAAAAACAAAGTATTAATGGGGCGAAGCTGTGAAGCAGTTAGCATGTCTAAGCCTTGTGCCTGAGGATAGAAATGCTTCCCAGACCCACAACACATCTGCATAGCTCTTCACATAAAAAAACATGACAGCTTTCAAGCTCTTAAATTTAGGAAATGTAAACATCTACAGAACGTTTTGGTGGACAGTTTGAAACTACATGTTGCAAACATTTGGGTAAATAAACCGCATCTTGACTTACGTCTCCTTTTCTCACATAATCAGGATTCTTATAAATATCTCTTGCAAGGCCAAAATCACAGATCTTCACAACATTGTTCTCAGATAAAAGGATGTTTCTGGCTGCCAGGTCACGATGAATGCACTATAATAAAACAGTTTCACAATCAAACTGCATTTCCTTATTCCTTCCCATAAATTTCCTGTCTCCCATATACTTTAAAATATTATTATTATTATTATTATTATTATTATTATTATTATTATCATCATCATCATCATCATTATCATCATTATCATCATTATCATTTTTTATTGATTAATTTAAATTTTTTAGGGAATTTTCCTGTAGTTTACATGAAGTTACTGTAAGTAGTGGTAATTATTTAAAAAAAAAAATTACTAAATCCAGAAAGTGACAAACTTGTATGCCCTTTGACATTTGCAGGGAAAGAGCTGAATCATTTGGAGCTCCCAAATATGTTGAAATTAAAGAAAAACCTACCACACCCAAAAGATCTTCCCCAAATGAATGAGCTTGACCCACTGCCTTCAGTCATGATCCTGTGTTTATGGACTATGGATACTTGGATAAACACAGTTATTTTTAAAATGCCAAGAGGAAAAAGGCTCTTCCTTTGGGGCCTCTCCCAAGGAAGGTGTCACTACAGTGTAGACATGATTTCACCTCTGAATCCTGTCCTTCCCCAGTGAAAAGCTCTCAGTGCAAAACTCACCTTTCTGGAGGAGAGGAATTCCATGCCTCTGGCCACCTGAAAGCTGTAAGAGATCAGGTCCTCCATAGTGAGGGGCAACTTGTACAGGTCATCAGCATCTGCAGAGGTGGAAAGCGGGGTTTGCTACAAAGATAGCTCACAGGCAGTTGTTTTCCCCCTTTCCTACAGACCCCATTATTCCCATAAATTCATTCTTCATGGAGGGGTATTTGGAGGTCAACCCACTGTCATTGGAAACAAAAATAGTGCTTGCTTTACACCCCGTGCTTTGGACACTGCTGTGTTTTCCCCAAAGATAAGGAGCAGTCAGAAGAAACAATCATACATTTTCCTGTCAGATTTAGTAACCCTGGAAATAATCTTTTTTTAAATCTTCTACCCTCTGGACATGACCCTCTGAGCATCTCCCACGGATGTTTATTAGGGTGATAAATGAGGAAAAAAATTTCAGGGATGCACAGTATGTTGTAAAAATATCACAGTCCGTGTAGGGACAGGAAGGAATTAATACCTACCCTCCTCGTCCTCCTCCACATCACTCAGACTTTTATCTTCCTGGAACCCAGAGCTCGCCAAGCTCTCGCTGCTGGTGACACTGGCCAGCCTTTGTTTTTTGCTTTCCACTGGCTCGATATCCTTTTTCTCTTTCATTGGCTCTCCCTGCAGAGAGGAGTCCTTCAAACAAAAAGAGAAGAGGTGCTACATCAGAGCAGTGGAGGGGGTGGGGAGGGAGCCAAATCAGACTGCTGTTGCCTTCCTGCCAGGCTGGTGGTCTGTGGTGTGGGTGGTCACGTCTCTCACGGCTAGGGGTGTCCAGAGCCGCTGTGGCAGGCAGGGGCTGGCGGCAGAGCTGTGCTCCACCAAGGTCATCGTCCTCAGAGGGCAGAAATTTGGTGGCTTGGGAGCACCAACACGTGATTTTGGGTAGTCAGGGCAGTGGGCTGCCTCTGCCACAGGAAGGATTTGCAGGGTGTATGGATGGAGTGGCTCATCTCAGCCTGAAATGAGACATCTGAAAGGGCCCATTTCTCTCCAGCAGACAGAGAAGGAGCACAAAGAAGAGGGTTGGGAAGGTTGTGCCCACAATGGAGGTATCCCAGACCTCTCAAACATCAGCTTTGGGTCCCAACCTGCTTAAGACGTCTGTATCTATGTCCCTGCCCAGGTTGTGGGCTTGTAAGCCCTTTCCATGAGGAGCAAGGGCACTTGGTGTGTGAAACAGATCTGCTGTTGGAAGTGACTGCCATTCTTTGATGCCTTTATCCAATGCTTTCTTCTTATGGCCAATCATGTGATGGTTTAACAGGACATGTGCAACACTGTTTGGAAAAAGCTCCCTCACTGCTACCTGTAGAGCAGCCTGGCTGCCTCCCATACTCTTGCCCCCTCTTACTTTTCATCTTGTCTTGCAACCATCTCTATTCCCCGTGCATGCTGGTGCAAAGCCAAACTTCCACCTCCTTCCGCCCAGGCAACCTTCCTGAGGGTGTGGGAAGGGGGAATGGGAATGGCTCCGCTCAGCAGGGACCCTGCCCAGCCAGACTCCCTGCTGAGCATCCGACTCCAGCAACCTCATGTAGGAGCAGCCAGCTGCTGTGTCTCACTGGGGGTACAGCGTGGACAGCCTTGGGAGCAGAGACTCAGCAAAGACCTTTTACAGGGGGTGTTCCCTCGAGTGGGCTCTCCCACAGAGCCCTCCCAAAAAGAATCCCTGAGATGCTGCCGAGCTTTTGGCACAGCTGGGCAGAGGTTTTGAGACCTGCTGTTCTGTATCCAGGCTCCTAAGTCTCACGTCGGAGCCCTGGATCCCTTGGAGGATTTTTTATTTGAATTTTCTGAGACATTCAGATTTCAGTTTGTAATAAGAAACATATCATGAATTTCATTCAGAGGGTTGTGGGATGTGAGGACAAGATTCTAATCTCTTTTCCTCTTGATAGCTCTTCTCCTCACACAATAATAAGATTACTTGTAAATCTCTAAATATCAGGGTGTCTTGGGACATGAGATTTAATTGGTATTATCTTGTTTGTGCTCCCAGCAGTACTGAAATAAGTGGGCAAAACCACTTCCTTTGGCTTTGCTGACCTCAAGCTCCTCAAGCTCACCAGGAATGGGTTCATCAGAAGCAGGGCAAGAGCATGTGGGGACACTTTGGATAGGATTCACTTCCCCTCGCTGTAGATGGCTCCAACCAAATTAGTCACAGCAGTCTCCTTGCACCATCAGGAAGAGAGAGGTGAATCCTTTCTTGGTACAACACATCCAACCCCAAATATTAATATAGGTCAGGTGAGCTTCACCCAATAGTTGTTTCCGTCCTTTGTTAGAAGAAAGTCTGAGGAGACCAGCTCAGAGCTGACATCTATGTTACCAACACATCAGGTAAGATGAACCCTACCAGGAGCCTCTGCCTCCTCACCTTGTTAGGGCAGAAAAGATTCCTTTTGCTCTTCAGATAGTTTGATAAATTCCCATACTTGCAGTATTCAACAATCACCATCAGAGGCCCTGGGCAATTAAATTTAAAAAAAAAAAAAAAGAAAAAAAGGTGGCATCAGTTCTGAGAAGGAATCTTTCATGCCTGTAACTACAACTTGAGCCCAGATTAACTGGCAACGTGTCCTAAGAACTCGAAGCCTGCTTGAAGGACACTGGACATTATCAAAACAATACTGCTTCTGGAAATTAGGGCAGGGCCTAATTTTTTGAAAGCTGAGTCTTGAGTCTGGATCTGGAGGGACACTCTGTTTCCTCTTTGGGCAGTCCAGACTGGAGTCCCACAGCCCACACACACTTCTTGAACTAAAATAGGTGACATATCTAAAACAAACAATCTCCCATACTGGTCTTTTGATTTTCTTAGTGTAATATCATGGAGGATCTTACAACAGCTGCATTGTGATTCAGAGTTCAGAGCCAGCAGCTGATATCCCTTGTTCCCAGCCTTTCCAGATCATGTTTAACCTGAGCTTGAGCAGTGGAGTGAGTGAGATAAAGGACAGCAAGTGGCATGTTCCTAAGTTCGCACTTCACGTATTAATACTAAAAGAGAGTTAAAGACAGGAAATGTTTAATCACTTCATTAAATGACTAAAAATCTCTTTTCTTTTGCTATTTTTTTCCACTTTTTTTTTTTACAGGATGAGCTCAAATATAAAAAGTTACTAACTTGACCTCTGGATGAAAAACATGGGACATTGGCTGATATTGGGAAATAATCCAAACCTGTTTTCAGAGCAGTGCAAATTTTTTTACCTCCATTTTTTGTGCAAGCTCCCAACAAATTCACAATGTTGAGATGATGACCAATGTGGATTAGGATTTTCAGCTCAGTCATCAGTGCTTTGTACTCACTTGCTGTGGCCCCTTCTGTAAATACAAAATAAAAAATCAATGTGAAAAGGCAAAGTACTGGTCCTGCTGAGCTTTAACACTTCTTGTTACTTTCCATTGAAATAATCTCCATCACTGGAGGTACATCTTGCATTGATGTTCTCTCTCTATTCCTCCCTGCTCAGCATCCTCTGGGTTGCAATTAAACCCATAAAAAGAGTCAAGCACTCAACTTCCTCCCAGTAGACTCTATTATATTTAGAACTGAGAGAATTTTTTTTTTTTCACATGAATAGTTCTGACGTTTCAGCCAAAAAATTGAAAGAACAAATAAAAAGGGATATCAAGATTATAATTAACTCTATCTAGAATTGGTTTAGTCTGACCTGACTTCAGCTATCTAAGGGTTATATTCTAGTCTGAACTAATCAGCATCTTAAGGGCTCAGTGGCAAGAGCAAAGTATTTTCAGAAGCTGATCAAGTTTAGCCATCTGTGTAAAGGAAAGATGAAGTACCCCTGGCTGGTGCCTGCCTGGTTCTGATCATTGTGTAGGATCATTGTGTGGAGATAGACCAAGGAAGTAAATATTAATCGGTTAAAGTGACTGCATCTCACCCTTACCAGTCATGGTCAAAAAAAATAGGAATGACATAAGAAGTCCCTCAGATAAATCCAAAACATTCTATTTAGTGTTGAGTGAAACTTTTCATTTCCCCAGAGCAATTTTTTTTTTTAAGAAAACAAGAAAAAAACCCATATTGCTTTGTGTAGTTCCTAAAGGAGTTTTTCAGTTTAGTGACACCAAGAGCAAGAAGAACAGTCCTGTGGAAAAAACCCTTGAGCTAGGTCTTAAAGGGCTTGGTTTCAACATCTGAATGGAAACTGTTTTTCTTGGTGTCCCAGACAAAACTTGTCTTCTACTTGGCGATCTGCTATTTGCTTGTATGGGTGGTGACACTTCCCCTCCACCACGTGGGAATTCTGGGAGGATAAGGAATGGCTGCAGAGCTCCTGGATAATCCAGAGAGGACACAAGGAATGAGGCAGATCTCCCCATGCTTTAGGTGAGATACTAAAGATACCCACAGAAGATCTGGTCACTACTGGCTCTCTTAATTGTCAGCAGAGCTGAGCAAGGACTCAGCTTCCTGTATGCGGGAATCTGCCTTAGGATGGGATGAGCTGTTGTCTCTCAGCACTGCCTATGAAGGGCATTTGAATGACTAGCTCAGATACAAGCATCTGCTCTGCACCTGCACATGTGAATCCCACCAGGAAGTAGCTGCCCTCTGCTCCCATCTATTCCAGGAGCAGCCACTGTTCCTTGGTGGTGCTGCCTGGCACAAGAAGTCTGCTGATGAACATAAAGAAACCCTGAACCCAGCAGTCTACTCCAAGGGCTGGAATTAACATGTAGACATCTCTTGATAAATGATAAGTAAGTGTATGTGAAGCTGGGAGCCACTGGCTAAGATGGATTCATTCAAACTTTTCCTGAACAGAGTCAACCGAGAGCATTGTGGTTCCGAGCCACACTGGCAGAATAGGGGATGTGTCCTGGCAGAGAAACAACAGCAAAAGGGATTCAGGGATTAAGACAGCAAAGCAACGCAGCATAAACTCCTGGGGCAATGCTAAAAAAAAACAAACCAAAAGCCTGCTATGATCCTTACACACATAAAGAAGGGAAAGCTAAATACACAGGAGGGATGCCACCGGGACTCAGGGTGAGGGAATTCAATCACAGCTGCTGCGGGCTGTGACTGAATATCATCCTGCTTGCTAACATCCCAAACGCCCTCTTCAAATTAACGAGGGGCTTTTGTCCTTTCTGCTCCAATGAGAAAGGTGGCAGTGAATAGCTGGAGGATGATTTTACTTTCAGATGAGCGCTGGTGTATGAACAGTGCTGGCAAATCCATTGCACAACTTGGGTGTCAGCATCCCCAGCACTGTGTGATGAGCCTGCAGCCGGTTCAGAGGGAACACACCTGCACAACACCACCATGGTTTCAACTGCTCAATGTGTTTAGCTTAATAAAAAGGCCTTCATGAAGAGAAATCGTTATAAAATCTAATGGAGAAGGTTAGAATGAGATGCAAAAGTCAGGCATATGAGAATGAGACATAAAGCATCTGGTTTTAACAGTAAGATGATCATTCCTTGGAACAAATGACCAAGGAAAATATGAAATATTTTCAATGTTTCAAAAATATGACACTTCTATCCCAGTGTCTTCACATCAAGGTGGATACCTTATACTTCAGCTAAATTTCATTTACAACATTCGGTATAGGGTCAGTCTAGCATAATGGTATGACTTTTTACTTTCATTTGTGGTGGAACTGAAACTTGATTGTACACATTTTGGAGGCTTCAAAAAGTTATTGTGGAAAGCTTTTGCTTTTGGCAGAATTGTATAAAAAAAAGCATCACTATGTAAGGCATCATTTTTTCCAATGCAGCAAGATACCTTTCAGCATTTTCACAGCAACTATTCTGCATGTTGGTGATTTTCTAATTCCAAAGGCAGATGCTTGTACCACCTTTCCAAAAGCTCCATGTCCAAGAGACTTTCCTGTAAAGAAAATAAAGTGGAGAGATACATCTTGGTAAAAAAAAAATGGAATTCTGTCAGCAAAGGGTTTCTTAGATCCTGAACTGAAAAATGTACTTCCCAATGAGTCCATAGGTATATTTCCATCATATAGCTGGTTTTGATTTTTTGGTTTGTTGGGGTTTTTTTAAAGTAAGCAGTCAGAAGAAGACAGAGTCATCAGAAGGAGCAAGTGATAGGAGTGAAAATGTCACCAAATGAATGCAACCATTCAGTGGAGGAACACTGGCTTCAAACTTGATTTTTTCAGTCTTGCTCTGCCAGAGAAAGATTTTGCTCCTCTTTTCCCTGAGCACACTGCACCGTGCAGCAGGCTGTGATGCTGCCAGTTATGTCCTTAATAACACAGGCCCTCTGCCCCTTTGACAATGTGTTCACATGGACAGGTCTGGCTGCCTCTGCCCTGCTGCTGAGGGTGTCAAGGCTTGCTCAGGGAGAGCTTGTCAACATATCAGCTAGCAATAAATTTTATTTATTTTAAAATATTTCCTATTTTCAGATTGCTTTTTTGCTTCACCTTCAGCAGAACCTAGGTACCAAAGTGGCTAACAAGAGCATGGCAGCAGGATCTGCCATGTAGAGAAGAGCAGAAAATAATGTTCAGCTTCTCATATAGAGACAAAGGATAATTGAACAATTTCCTATTCCTACTTGACTTGCTCTCACTTGGACATCTATCTTGTTGGTATCTGAATGAGAGATGAATCCCACTCAGATACTTGCAAGCAGAGAAAAAGAGCTGCTGTCTGTACTAATTTAAATCAATACTGCCTTTTATATGTGTATATTGTATCTAAACTGTAATTCTCTGTCTGTCAGTAGAAGACAGAGTAACACATGTTATTAAAGCAAAGGAAACATGAAGTGGAATACGCTAAGCCAAAAAAACCCCCAGAAAATTATTTCCACCCTAGATGTGCAAAAGCATTGTCATTTTTTTACAGCAAATAAAAACCACAAAGAACTTGACCTACATGAATGAAAAGCATCAACAGACCTACCTTTGGTTTGTGAAGGGCATAGTGTTTGATAGAGAAATACAGATGAATCAGTGTGCATCTAAAAACCTACTGTCACCCTTTTCACTTGCTGCATATGGATTCTTCGTTCAGAGATGTGTAAGGGAAGTATCACTAAGACTCAGGTCTCAGTTTTCTTAGTGAATTGATGTTGTTAGTCCTTAATGTTTTGACTGTTCATGGTTTCTACACAAAGAACTTGCAGTTTGAGGTCCTATAAAACCCATCACACCTTTGTTAAACCCATAGCTTTAATCTGTTTCCATCACTGTTAATTCACTTCCCACATTGTGATAACCTACTTAGTCACCACTTGGAAAACACACCAGCTCATAAAGCTGCACAGAGCTGCTAACCTTTCAGAACGGAGAATGAGCACTGGAAACAGCACTTCCTTCTCTAAACAGCAGAGTGATTCAATGGGAAACTGTAATAACACTCCTCTTTGCTGCTCTGCTATTGTTTGTACCGTGCTGAATGGCTACACAGGACAGAGCTGCTTTAACTTCTCAGCATGTAGCTCAAAACTCCACAGTTTAGTATGCAATTGTGGCTATGGTTGTTCTTGCAAAAGTCCCTTCTGTTGACATGCAAAGTAACTACAGAATTATTAAGCTGAGGAGCATCAAGTTGCCCAGCCATCTGAGCAGTCAGTTTGTCACAGCCTTTGAGAGTTACACTGATACATTTGGGGAAATGCTCAGGTTTGTAATGTTGCAGCATTTAGATCCAGACCAATGAAGCAAAAGGCTCTACTTAAGTTTTCCACACTTAACTTGGATTTAACTGGGCCACTCAGAACACATGAAAGTGAACATACACCTCAGTCAAGGAGTCTTGGATCATGAGATTTTCCTTTCAGTTCCATTTTAGCAGGGTCCTTCAAGCTGGTCAGTCACCGGGCCTGGAGCATTAGCAAAAAGCACTTGGAGACACCGCACCCCATGTCTGTGGGAAGGCACAGGCTCGAAGGTGTGCTCATTTCTCAGCTTCTCTACCACTCTTTGAGTCATCTGGGTTTCCCCCACAGGTGGCTTCACGTTTTCTGTTGTGTTACACAGGGCAGCTGTGCACCTGCCCAAGAGTGGAAGCGCTGTGCTCGGTGCCAGCGCCGTGGGCTTGCGGTGTGCAGGAGGGAGCTGGGCTCGGGAAGCCAGCTGCCACCAGAGTGTGTGACGCTGCACTGGAGCCAGCAGCCACACTCCCCCAGGTCCTGTGAGCCAGCACCAGCACGGTGTCACCCCTCCAGACTGGGAAGGCCAAGCCCAAGTGTAAGGGGAGCAGCGCACGATAGCTCAGCTAACACAGTGTCCTGTCTCGACCACACTGACAGTGATTTATAGCACCAGCGTTTTCCTGCCTAATGAAAAGATGGCATTTTAGTCTCAGTGAGACTAATCTGTGCTGAATGTTAATTACCCTGACTTCAGTGATGCCCATATGAAATTTCCTGTAATGTCTGTAGCTCTTACAGATGAAGGGAGAGTCCTGTTATATAAGCATTGCATCACAGCCGTGGGCTCTGTGTGTGCATGTTGGAGGAACACATAGCAAAAGAGATGTGGGCTGAAAGGAGAGACTTCTTTGCAAAATTTATAATAAATATGTGAACTGGAGGATAAGTAGGTGGAAAGAGAAAAACAGTCACATCAGATGCTGGAAGGGGTTGCATTTCCAAGCAAAAATATTTTTTAAAAACCATAGAAGCACATTTTGTGTCTGTGAGACACTAATCCTCAGAGACTGCCAAGGTTACTCAAAGACTGAGCCAAATGCCATGTAAGCAGGACTTACACTGAGCCAATCTAGCATACTGCACATATACAACTTCTTCAAATCTGGTTCTCATTCATTGTCAGCATTCTTTATTTGTTTACACCAGTTCTTCCACTTTTAACTCATTCTCTGGTCATCGTTCGTCACCTCTGGACTCTGAACACTAACCCTGCAAGGCTTTTCCTTGGTGTTTACATTCCATTTCTGTTTGTTTCTTTCCCAGTGGTCACATTGTCTGCACATCAGGCTCTTGGTCCATCGTGTAAGAAAATTGTCTGAAGATTGAAGTCACTCCAGCACAAGGTTCCACCATAATTCCCAGAATTATGTATGACAATTATAAATCGAGAGCAATATATTTCATCTGTGCTTATCCACATCTGGCCACCTTGTGTCTTCTGGCAGGCAAATTAAGTGTGGTCATAATTTTGCACATGTGTTAACCAAGCTCTGTCCCTGATACCCGGGAGACAGGAGTAATCTGTTACAGCTCCTGACTAAAATGCGAGGATTTTCTAGACCTTGCTGTAGGACAAATGTGATGCATGCCTGAAAGAACAAACAGCACTATAGCAACGAGGCTGAGCTTATCACTGACATTTTAATGTTGACCTTCTTGCTAAAATCTGTGTGGTTTCTGGAGGGATTCATCAACTTCAAAATAAGGTCCCTTCCCCCCTTCCTTTCTTATCAACCCCACACCAGGATTAATAAGGAATGGTCCCAAAGCCATGCCTTTTGCTGGGGCATCTATAGGGGACCTGGCTGTAGGTTTAAAGTTTTCAAGGATACTTATTTATTTATGTGTGGACATACATTCTTGCAATTTATGGTGCAATAACAGAATATTCATAAAACTGCAGCACAGAGGGAAAACAAGGAGATTGTGCTGGAAAAAGAAGGAGACGGAGAAAGAGAAAGGGGTGCAGGATGGATTATGAGGATTCATTTCTGCACAGGTTTTTCCAAGTTGCCAGGTTGAAGAAGGGGCAGAAAACCATATAATTATAGAATAGCCTGAGTTGGAAGGGACCCACAAGGATCATCGTTGTGGATGATCCTGGCCCTGGACAGCACAACTCCAAGCAGCACACCGTGTGCCTGTGAGAGTTGTTTGGATTCTTCTTGAACCCTGTCAGGCTGGTGCAGTGCTCACTTCCCTGGGGAGCCTGGTCCAGTGCCTAACCACCCTCTGGGAGAAGAACCTTTTTCCAATACCCAACCTAAATCTCCCCTGACACAACTTCAGTCCATTCCCTAGGGTCCTTCGCTGTCACTGGTCACCATAGAGAGGAGATCAGTGCCTACCCCTTCTCTTCCCCTCACGAGGAAGTTGTAACTTCAATGAGGTCTCCTCTCTACTCCTCTTCTCCAGACTGAACAGAACAACTGACCTCAGCTGCTCCTTCTACAGCTTCCCCTCCAGACCCTTCACCATTATTATAGTGAATCACCAAAATCACAGTAAATACCAAAGATCAGGCTCCTTAGTCTAGAGAGAGAAACATCAAAGTTGGTGGTCTGATTTGGAATTCTTTGGCTGCTCTTTTTGTGTCCTGTTTTAAATAAATCAGTTTCCAAAATAAAGAATATTCTTGTCTATATTCTCCTTCTGTGGCCAGATAGCAAACTTAATAGATGAGGGAAAGGCTGTGGATGTTGTCTACCTGGACCTTAGTAAATCCTTTGTCACTGTCTTCCACAGCTTTTTCCTGGAGTGAGCAGGTTGGACATGGCTGGACTTCGTCTTAGGGTCTTTTCCAACCTAAATGATCTTGTAGTTCTATTTTCATTTTCCTACGTGGAGTCCAAATATACATGTGAAAAGTCAAGCAGACACGGTCAGTCTGTCCTAAAGGCTGTAATTCATTCACAGATCAGTGCTCCCAGTGTGGAATAGATCACACCAAACCTGGCAGTGCATTGTGCTGACGGCCTAGAACACATCCAGCTCCTCTTTACCCATAGTTACAGAATACATCTGGTTCAAACAACCCAAACTCTATATGAACTCTTCCAATATTACCTAGTTTTAGCCTTTCTCTTGCAATTTCCCACTTGCTGGCATCGTAAGGGAGGCGTTCACATTGCTCATCTAAGGGGACTTCATCAGGATCCATTATGATTGACAGGTAATGGTTGGTCTTCATTTCAGAGGGACGAGGCTAGAAAACAAAGATATTGCAAAATGAAAAAGAGGATTAGGGTATCTGTCAGCATCTTCTTGTTTGGATTAAGGGCTCCAAGTCCTTTCTGTTCACAAGGCTGCGTGTTTCACTGCACAGTGGATGGTTTGGTTAAGTTCCATTTGGCTTTTCTATATATTGCAAGAGTTTTTATATTAAAAAATCTCCTTCCTCTAGCTTTCCTCCCAAGTGACATACCAGTTTCTTCAATGAAATCCATGTGGGTCTCTTAACATATGGTGTTATGACACAGGCCCTCTGCACAGTCAGGAGAAATACTTTCAGCAAGTGACTAAACATTGCTGATAAAAATAACTTTCCTTCATGATTGTGCAAAGCAAGAAGTGGCCACATGCAACAGATGGAGTTCTACTGCCAGTGTTTATTTGTTCCATATATGCCTCAAAGATAGGTCATATGTGGTTAGAAATTGTGCAAGACAAGTCATCAGGACATTGTACACTTCAAAAACTGCTGACAAATTTTTAGGATTTTTTATTTCTTTGGTATCATTTCTGAAAAAAATACTGAAACCATTTGAGTCTGGAGGAATTTATAAATAGCTGGACCCAAACACATAATTTAAAACATAAAATTTCAAATAAATTTGCCAGTTTAGCTTCTCCTGAGCAAATGGATGGCCCCTTGAGAAATATAAGGAAAGATGAATCTGATCTGAAAGTTTCCTGAAGTTCATCCATTTTGAAATATATGTTCCTTCAAAGAGCATCAAGATTGCCATTCTAATCCACTGGATTTTTCTTGACACAGGAGTACTTATCTTTCTATGGAAAAGGTCTAGTGATTGCTGTCATTTCCTGGCTATTAGTTGGAATTTATGGGAAATCTGCAGAACTGAACCTGAATGTGTTGCTTTTCCTAAATTTGTGGAAGTAGCACATGGACAAAGACATTCAGATACCACAAACATACAGATACAATCACGTATTATTCTCTTTTCTATTATTTGCTTTCACTGCCTCCTAATACTTTCAACTTCTCTCCTCGACAGCTTGGAAATACGCATTGGAAATACCTGCATTTCCAGGCATGTTTTTTGAGAAGGATGTTCCTAATCTGTGCATGTCTTGATTACAAACACAACTAGACTAAAATGACAGTAATTAACAACTGCTGTTCTAGTTGCGTTTCATCCTCCCCAAACCCATAAATTTTGTCCCAAGAAGGATGCACTGATGCTTGGGAAAAAGTCAGGAGGCTTAGAGCCTGGCTCCAAACTATCCACTAAGTCTGTAAAGGACATGGATAAGTGGGATATGAGTAGAAACAGAAACTTGTGTGGTGCTCCGGAAAGGGCATTTTTGGATAGAGATGTGTGTACCAGAGTGCTCCTGCCCATCACATTAGAAGAGCTTTTAAGTGGACCCATCCCACAAAATGCAATAGGGGAGTGGAAAATTCAGACAGTTTCCCACAGTTCTTTCTTCAGATGCACTCAATTTAAATTTTTTGGTGCAAATAGAGATTTGAAGCAATATTTTCAATGATGAAAATCTTTTAAGGGTATAATCTGTCCCTGTGTGCATCACAGAGAGGCTTTAAGAAAATGAGTTTGGAGAGCATTTTTTTCTTCTGTTGTGGCAACAAAATTTTTATCTAAAATTTAATTCAGAGCTAATTCCAGGCATAAATCTTTGAGAGTAAGGGTTTATAAGAGAAACACAGAGAAGACCATAAACACAGACTAACGCTAGCTGGAGAAGTTCATCTGGAAAGTTGCCTTAACATATCATTTAATTATGATATTTGTTCTACAGTGATGATGATATTTTTATTATCTTTTAAAAATTTAACAAGTTTTGTTCTCATAAAAAATAAAATAAAAAAAGATCTGCAAGCCTTTTCTACATTTAAAGCTTTACTTTTTCCCAAGATTTACAGTCACATAATAACTTGTTTCATCATTGCTGTTGAGCATTCAGTACTGGTCCCTCTTGCCTTGTAATTTCTCTTACAGCTATGAAGTTTCTCCACAGCTTCAGCTGACCTCTGCTTTCCTTTCTCCCCAGACTCCCACGCATTTCTCCTCACTAAAGCTTGCAGCAGGAGGAATGCAGGCGGAGTGACTGCTGCCGTACCGCCCTGACTTGGAGGTCTAGTGCTGCTTTCTCATCAGTCAATACAAGCTCTTAGTACCCAGCCTGAGATACGGGCAAGCCTTGATGCAGGTTGTGGTTAAATGTTCTGTCAGGCCACAATGGACCTTCAGCAACCATCCCTCATCCAGCTGGGACACGCCCAGCTGTGGTGGCTGCAAGCAGATCCCCGTGGTGCTGTGCTGTGATACCCTTGGGCTGGTGGGGGTGTGGGAGTGAGGAGAGGGAGGCACACAGCCATTTCTCAGCTCATGTCTTGCAGTGCCCCAGTACCTTCCCTCAAATCCATCTGCTCCTCCAGGTTGCACTGAGATCTTCCTGCATGACTGAGGAGTTGTATTTTCTGCTTGGGAAAGCTGCTGTGGTTTAGCCTGCACACACCATGCAATGCAGACAGGGTGCTGTGGCAAAAAGGGGTTTTAAACCGTCACAGTCAGCCTTGGGCAAGAAGGAGGGTCAGCCGCAGGGGCAGTTAAATTTATCATGTTGGTACAGGATCATCTGCTCTAGGGGCTGCACCATCAAAACTCCGTCAGCAAAATATCACTTTAGAAGTGATGTAATGATACCAGACACTGTGTGAACCAGAGCCCAGCACATTCTGTGAAGATCTGTCATTCCCACTCACTCAGGTCTTCAAAGACATTAGGATGCCAAACCCCCACAGTTTTTATAAGGAAGTGAGGATGCCTTTGGTGTGAGTCAGGCACCCGAATTCTTGTGAGCCTCAGAGCCTTGTCCCCACTCTGGCTTTTCTTTCTGGCTTACTCATACTCAGCCTTGCAAGTCACAGTTCTCCAGCATCCATCAGCAGCCTGGTTATTGCACCAGGAGCAAGGGTGACCAGTATCAAAGAACCATAGAATCATAGGATATTCTGGGCTGGAAGAGACCTGCACGGACCATCAGAGTTCAACTCCTGGCCCTGTACAGGGCAGCCCCAAAGGTCATGCCATGTCCCTGAGAGTGTTGTCCAAACACTCCTTGAACTCTGGCAGACTTGGTGCTGTGAAAGTGAAACAGAATGTTTCTTTGGTAGACTTGGCAATCCCAGCAGCCTGGGAAAATTTTCTGACATGAGCAAAGGGCTGCCAAGGAGAGGCAGGTGCTACAGGGAGATCCCTGTCTGTTCTTACCCTCCTCAGCTTGCGAATGAAGAGGGTCAACAGGAGCCAGAAGAGCGTCGCAGCCACACAGGTACAGGTCAGAGTTATCAGCTCCAGGTTTGACCTCTCCGGTATGCCTGGGAAAATCAAGTGGGAAACATTAGAAAATGACCTGAAAACCAAGGGCACTTCATGTCGGGTTGTTTTTTTTTTTATTGCTATTAAAATAAAATACCAGGAAGGACCTGCTCTTTTCAATGGGGTATTAATCTCTGTTTGGACTGGCTCACAGAGCCAAAAAGAAAGGTCTGCTGCAGCCTCAGGAGAGGACAAGGCTGCACAGAGGGGATGGCTCTGCTGGGCCTTTCCCACAGGCAGTACTGTGGTGTGAGAGCTGCTGCTAATGTGCAGAAGCTCCTGAGAGGGCTTGTGCTGGTGTAGGTGTGACTCCAAGTGTGACCCAGGGCACACTGCAGTGCTGCTGCTTGGGTTTGCTGTCCAGGACCTGATGCCTTTCCTTATCTGCTTCTCAGAGAGCTCTTCCCTGCTGATGGCTGAACTCTGCAGCCCGCACCTCCACCCCAGACATGCTGTAAACCGTCCAGCCCTCACCAAAACCATCACTGGGGGATTCTCTGGGAGACTCATGGTGCTGCCAGCAGGAGTCTGTGAGCTCTTCTTCCCATGGCTTGGATCTGATCTGTCACCTGGGGGCTCAGATCATACCCAGCATAGTACCGGGGTCCTGAGCCTCATTCCCACTGGGCAGAAACCCAGGGCACTCCCTCCAATCCACTGCTCCCCTGGCAGGCGCTGTGCCCTCAGGTCTCCTGCCAGTCACACCAGCAGCACATGGCCAGGCTTCCTGAGGGAACACGGGACCCCTCCTTTCCCAGGGGCACCCACAGAACCCGGGTGGCAGGGAGCTGGGAGAGCTCCAGAAACCAGGGAACAGATTAAGCACAGAAAGGGAGAAACAAAACCGACAACAACTGAAAATGAAGCAGCAAGAAAACATGAACATTAGAAATCTGGAAAGTGTTAGAGCCCACTGAGAGATCTTTTAAAAAGCCAAAATAAAACTCACTTCAGACTGCTATTTAGGGATTTGTAAAATAGTTTCAGAGCAGTTTGTTTTGCAAATCCTGTGATCGCGTCAAAATCCCACACTTCCCACAATATGTTTTCCATCTGATTGGTAGAAAATGCAAAAAGAACCATCATATCCTGCCTCTTATTCTGATATAACCTCTAGAGAGGGTAAACAAGAGGACAAGGAAGAGTAATTCTGAACATGATTTCACAGTAGTTTTGCCAACTGCACTTGCAGAGTTTCAGAGCCTGGCAGCTCGGTTGTTACTCCTGATAAATGAAAAAGGTATTATTGTGTCTCACTGGTGGGTTTACTGGGTAATCCAGTGGGATGTGCTGCTGGTTTTAGGCAAAAGGCTACAAAAGCTTTGTTCAGAAGATGTGTTGAGTAATTAGCACAATGTCTTCCCTCCCTAAAAATGATAATCAGATTTGTATTCATGCCCCATATTTAAGATTTCCCTGGCATGTCCATTCTGGAGCTTTGAGAATAAAGCTCATTGAGGAAAAGCATGGCTGCAACTACGAATGGAGAAACAATAGTCTCCAGAAATACCAAGAGAGTTCTTTTTTCACAAGTATTTTTTTAATATTTGTGATTTAGATGTGGAACGTAGTGATAACATAAATAGTACAGCCTGACACAGCTTGCCTGTTCTCTGGCATCAGCATGTCCTTTTACACACAGATAGTCTCCTCTCGCTTCTGAGCAGCACTCCTGCGGATAGATGGCAGATAATAGTTTCTGATATTTATTCAGCAATTGCCACAGCTTCATATGGCAGGACAAGGAGCACCCATGAAGTACAGCCAGGCCTGGGGTGGAAGACAGCAACCCTCTAACTGCTACAGTAGCTGACCAAGAGTCAGCAAGGAGATGCAAAGGTGCTGTCTTTGAAATGTTTGAGCAAATGTAGGCAACCAGAAAGCATTTCTCCAGCTGGGCTGGGTTATCAAATGCCAGAGTCCTAGTCATGCTACAAGCCTTGAAGTCAGAGCTCTCCGAGTGTCTCTCAGCTGGGTAGAAAAAGGTTTCATTTGAGGCAGAACTGGCAGAAGCGTGCAGAAGAGGCTTTAGGATTAGCAGAGTTTGGTGAAGCTGTAATCAGTACTAAATCCCTCTCTCTGCCTGGTAGGTGAAGATTTCAGGCATCCCCTCACACCCCCATCCCAGGCCTTTACTCACCAGACATCTCATTAGACAGAGACTTTTTCCTGTGTGCAGCTCTGTCCCATCTGCCTGACTCTGCTCCAAGCAGCAGCCCCCTCTCTCCTCCAGAGCCCCTCCAAAAGCCCCCCTGCACAACCCCATGTCTTCAGGACTGCAGAGAGGTGAGGAGGGGGAGAGTGAAGTAGTGCCACCAGCAGCAGCTTCTCTCAGTAGCAACAGAAGCCACCAGAACTGCTCAAGTATGCCAGGATGAGAGCCTGGATTAATCTGCTGATCCCTCCAGCTACCAGCTCAAGCCTTTGGCTGGTGTGGGCTTTCTCACTAGGATTTCAGCTCCAAACACCTAAACATTGCAGTGCAGCTCAGGTGTTATCCAGGGACAAAGCAATGCCTGGAGCAACAGCACTAATCTGCTGCTCCTAAAGCATCCCTCCCAAAGGGATCTACCCAGCTTAATCCATGTGATCTCACAGTCACAGCACTGCAGCACTGGGACGGGTGCTCAGAGATGCTGAGCAATGTCCATCCTCAGAGACTGTCAGAACTTAGCCAGACCATCGTTTGAACCAAGGCTGAACTGTTGATGACCAGGACCCCATTCCAACCCCCTTTAGTGGACTTCTGAGGTAACAGGAGTCTTAGTGAGTCCCCTGATGTCCACCTTTAAAATCTTGCAAACAGAAGTCATAACCCAGGCTGAACTTCCTTTAGTAGCTGTGGCAATTCCAGTTAAACTTCATGAAAAAGTTCCTGATGACTTCAGCATGACTCAAAAGGCACCACAACTTTTTGAGAAACATAGGTAGGTAGGTAGGTAGGTAGGGAGATAGATAGATAGATAGATAGATAGATAGATAGATAGATAGATAGATAGATAGACAGACAGAAGGAAAAGTTATTTAAAGGAAGTAATTTAAATAAAAGTTATTTTAAAAGCTAGCACCATTTTCATAGTGTCAGAATAGTTCAATGAATAAATGAGATGTTTTTCTTTTCATCAACAGGATTCACATTAAGTTATCAAACAACAGCTTTAAGGCAGGGCACATTGCTGTATTCCTTTGCTTGTTATATGGCCATATTTCAGCGAGCATGAGCTGTAAAAAGTGCCCCTTCCTTTATCAACACATCTCCTTCAAAGCAGCACCTCTACAACTAACTGTGTCCCTGGGGCTGTGAGGGTCCTCAGTAGGGGAAGCAGGAAATGGCTTTCATGGCAATTCTGCAAGCATGTTGACCCCCCCAGAAAAAGCTACCCAAGAGTCTGTGTTCCCCACATGCCCAGCAGCATTTCTCCCCAGACTTTTAGGGGTACAGTCCCCTCCACCTGCTGGGTGCTCTGGCGGCCGTTTGCTGTTTCTATTCTGCCCTTGCAGATTTGCTGCCTCTTTGGTTTCTCAGCCAAGAGAGATTGCTCTGACATGCCCATAGACATGGCCCTTCTGCTCCACAGACAGCCCAGCAACCTCTGCTTCCAAACCAAACACAGCCTGCAATTATTTAAAAATGGCCCTTTGATTCCACCATCCATTCATCCATCTCGGACACAAAAATAACACATTGTTTTATCTGTCAGTATAAGAATGTTTTTTCAGAGGAAATAAAGAGAGCAGACAGTTTCCTTCCTGACTCATTCACAAACTACTCTTCCAATCTGCTAAACGTGGCCATCGACATGAGGCGCTGCTCTGTTCCCTTTGATCTGCAGCCCCATGTTCCGAGAGTCCTGGGACAGAGGAGAGGCTTTGGTGCTCACAGCAGCAGGCACAGGGCCTGTGTTTCTCAGAGAGACAAGAAAGTGGCAAGGCTTAGACAAAGCCCCACATTCAAGCCCTGATCTTTTCCCTCCAGGCTCAGGGATGAGGTGGGAGGCTACCATTTCCTGTGAGAAGGACAGACACTCCAGAGCAGTGTATGAACGAGTAAAAAAAGCCTCTAGTGACATCCCTTCATGTAGTAGGAAAAGAGTGGAAAGGCATTTTCCTTGGTCATAGTAGATAAGAAAAACTGTCTCTCTTTTTATCATCCAGTCTCAAAGCCATAAATTTTAATGTGCTAGTCTTCATCTCCTGCTCCCGTAGAAGTCGTACAAGAACATTGCTTGTGGTCCCTCAGGACACGTAACCACAGAAGAAGCCTTCCTGGCTGCTCTCCTTCCTCTCCTCTGGACTAGGATATATGACTTTCTAGAAGCCATCTGACAGAATGTTTGTGGTTGCAATAAACAGCCAAGCTTCAATTATGTTAAAAATCAATACAATAATGAATTACACTGTCCAGAACTATGATTAGTGGGATGATTTGGACAGCAAGCGGCTGGCACAAGTTACTCATTTAGCTGTTGCAGCAGCTGTAAAACCCTTAGCATTACCAAGGCACTCAGAGAGAGCTGATTCTGCCTCTCTACTCTACTCTACTCTACTCTACTCTACTCTACTCTACTCTACTCTACTCTACTCTACTCTACTCTACTCTACTGCTGTGAGACCCCATCTGGAGTGCTGCACCCAGCTGTTATGTTGGGGCCTCCAACGTAAGAACGATGTGGATCTTTCAGAGCAAGTCCAGAGGATGGCCACAAAGATGACCAGAGGGCTGAAGCACCTCTCCTATGAAGACATGTTGGGACAGCTGGAATTCATTCAGCCTGGAGAGGAGAAGGCTCCAGGGAGACCTTTTGGCAGCCTTCCATTACTTAAAGAGTGTTTAATAGAGAGCTGGGGAGTCACTTCTTCCAAGGGCATGGAGCAACAAGACAAGGGAGAATGAGGGAGAATGGTTTCACACTGAAAGAGGACAGGCTTAGATTAGATATCAGGAAGAATTTTTTTTATTCTGAGGGTGATGAGGCCCTGGCACAGGTTTCCCAGGGAAGTTCTGCATGCCGCATCCTTGGAAGTTCTCAAGGCTGGGTTGGAGGGAGCTTTGAGAAACTCAGTCTGATGGAGATGTTCCTGCCTTCCACTAGACCAGGCTGGAGCTATAGGATATTTGAGGATCCTTCTAACCCAGATCATTCTATGATTCTATAATTACTCATAAGGGGATAGGTATTTTAACTCCTCAATTTCACCGCTTAGGCCAGCCCACAAGTGCATATAATTATCCCTGACCTTTTAAAGCAAAAACATCATTGTATCATTACCATTAACTCCGACTGGTAACACACTCATGGCAAAAAATCAATACTGAGAAGTATTCAGACACATTTAACAATTATATGAGAATGTCCACAAACACATAATCTCTGCCTAAGAGGTCTGATGATATTCTAATTATGTTCTATAAGGAGCAACTAAATGCATCTAGGACTACTTAACACCAGGTCAGTAGAATAAATTATGTGAAATTGAATACATGCATGACACTGGCTTATATGGAGAATGTCAACCTTCTTCTCTAATCTCATAATTCATGAGCCAAAATGGTACTCAATGAAAATGAAAGGTCACTTAATAAACTTTATTTTTATTCAATGTAAAATTAATTGATAGAAATGACTGCCACAGGCATGAGTTGAGATTGTCAGAAGGCAGAGCAATGCTGGACATTTAAATGACTAGCAAGACAACTCAAGTAATGGTCACAGAAATAACTAGATCAAATTGCTTTGTAGTAGTACCTTTGCATATGTAGCTACTGCTAGGCTAAAATATTCCAGTCTGATTTGGCAGTTCACTTTACATAGGAAATAAATAAATGAGAATATCCCAGTCCTCTAATTTCTACGGAATTAACCTGAAATGGAAAATGTGTGGGTAAAAGAGTGTTACATACTCTGTTTTTTGTTTGTTTTGCTGATACTAAATTTACATTTGTCTTCTACCCTGACCTGATCTTTGTTGGGTTGAAGCAATTCTTCTTTTTAGGTCAGTGTAAACACACTCTGTGTTAGCATTTCCTGCTGGGCTTCCTTTCCAACCTGGTACGCTTCCCTTGCTAGAACTTCCTTCAAATTGCTTCAGAGATCACCAGATGAGTGCCAGGTCATACCCCTGTCTTTCCAGCCTAAGAACATCACTCTGGAGGGCTTGCTCTTCCCATTTAGTGTGGTGCTTTACCTTGTACTGTGACATACGCCGCACTCTCCACGGACCCTTTCAGGTTGGTGGCTATACACTGGTAAAGTCCTTCATCCTCCTCTTTCACTCTTTCAATAACCAGCATTCGGCTTCCGGGCCCTAAAATTATTCCTGTGAAATGAAATATTTTGCAATGAGAGGGGAGCCAGGATATAAACAAAAGCTGGCCCTTGTGTAATATCTGCTTCAAGCTCTTCTCAAAAGAAATCTGAGCCACAATGTTATCTGCAGGAAAGCCAAAGACATTTGGACATCTTGTGAGTCTCTTGGAAATCAGTGTTTACAAAACACTTGTGTGAGTCAAAAAGCACAGCCTAAGCCTTGGAAGTACTTAGTACTGATTATGTTGACAGCACTGTGCCTATGCTTTCATCCAGGTGAGCACTTTAGCATGTCTGCAGCTTTTGGAGAAAGGATAATCTGATTACTGCACTTAAGGGCCCAGATCTGCCCCAGAGGCAGCTCAAGCTTAGAGCCCTTTCAAAAGCCATTCAGACTGTCCCTATGGGCAGCAGACTTGCCCCAAATCTCCCCTGCCCATGTGGCATGGAACGATGGGCTGCTTTGCAAAGGGGCTCCGGATAGTGCAAAGAGAATTCCCATGAGGAGTACCCTAAAACACAGGAGTTACCTGAAGTTTTAAACATCTTGTTTATTCCAGCTAGGTCAACCCAGAAGCCAGCCTGGACAATACTCCAAGAAGCAAGGAAGAGGCAGGGAGCAGATTTGACCTCAGGACTGCTGCTAGGGCACCTTCTAGCCAGGAAATGTGGAGACAAGTACACACTTATGTTTGGCTCCATCAGAACAACAGTCCCATCTAAATGTGTTCCCACCATCTATTTCAGGCACCTAACTGAAGTGCTCTGACCTACCCTCTGGAAACATTTCCCTGGCTCCTAATAGTATCTATTGCATTACACCCAAGTTAGACACATAACATTCATCTTGGAATATAGTGCTATTAATGCACACTACAGCGATGTGATCACTTTAAAGATTCATGGAATCTGTCTCTAGGTGAAGCTTAGTGCCTGGGCTGTAAGTCTGCACAGGTTTATTACTCAGTTGGAAAAATCCTCAGAATTTTTTTCCAGTTGTTTTTATTCATGCTATAGTAATTTCCAATAACTCAGAACACAACCATAACTACAAACTTTCTAAAATGTTCTGTAGAAGTTAAATTCTACACTTTAAATTCAAGTTTCTATGGATCAAATCTCCTTTAACGTTTTTGCTGAGTGTTTTAATTCTGTCTCAGTGTGTGCTTCTGAACCAGATGTGCATGAATTCCCATGACACAGGTTTTGCCTTTTCCTCCGTCAATAATTTCCATCTGAAGCATCCAAGGAACACTTCCATGACTGTGGTGCCAGCAGCTGGACATTTAGCCGTAGCTGATCTTTGAAGCCACATTCCAGAAACAGCAGTAAACAGCTCCCAAAGTTTTCCTGTTGTTGCAACAGGTCACCTGGGAAGCTGCTGCTTTCTGTTGCATGACACCTGAATCCTCTGCCGCCAGTAGATTCATTTGGCTTTTGGACACTCCAGACAAGGATTTAGTCTCCTGGATAGCTTTTGACTCATGAACAGACTTTCAGTGCCTGATCACAGACTACCACTGGTACTTCCATACATATCACGAGAGCTTGGTTTTCTCTTGCCTAGTTATCTGCTGGCCAAGATACCTGATCCTTGAGCTCCCTCTATAACAAATGGAGGGAAATATGTTTCTCTGGAGATGACTCTTGTAAGATGAAAATTTTTTCACCAATTCCACAGAGACCTGTTGTGTCTAGATCTCCAGCCTGGCTCATGTTTTGGAGTGAGACAGAATAACCTGGAGCACCTGGGTTACTGGCTGACTGCCTTCCTTACATCTAGGTACTGGTGCCAATGACTCTGCAAATGGCTAAGGCAGATGGGTAAATAAAAAGCCTGCTGTAAGAGGTAGGTGAGTACACAAAGCTCTCACCTGGTTCTTGCTGTATTTCCTCATGGTTTTTAAACCAGGATATCTGGGGCTCAGGAATACCACGAACCTGGCACTCCAACATGGCAGAGTTACTGGCGTTCACTGTCTGATCCGTAAGCTGCCGCAGCAGGGCTGGTGCCTCTTGAGCTATAAGACAAAACAACACCTTTGTTTTACATTCTTGTAATGGTGGGGATTTAATTATCTCCCCTACACTCATTTTATTCTCTTTGTTAGAGGCTGCTACAGCTGTTCTACCAAGCTCATTTTTCACTGATTTTATTTACTGTTCTACTTTGCTCAGGAGGGTTTGGTGTGTGCAGAGAACTCCCATTACTCAGCCATGGCATGTTATGGTGACCAGTGAAGACCCAACGAGGACAGTGTTCAAAAGATTTTCTCAGTTCCATGACCAACCACGCTTGTTTATATCAAAGGCAATGATTTTCTATGAAAGCTCAGCTTCTCATCATCAAAAGAAACAACCTGTGACACCAAAGATCTGAAGAACCACCAGGACACCCTTGTAGCAGAGTATCTCTGTGTTGCTGATAGCACTTTGCAGCTCTGTACACCATGATATATATCCATGAATGTGACTTAGATAATTTACTTACTTTAAAGAGTACAGTTACAAATCATATTCAGTAAACTCACAGAATCAAAAGCCAGTAACCATGAGCACAGAAGAATTGTACCAATGTCTTCATAAATTATTCCACTTTTGCGTTTCACGATTTTGGCTCAACATAACCAGGCCTGGCCAAACCACACCACAGCATTTCAAAAACACAGTACAAACATAATGCTATAGTCATCCCTGAAAGAAACAAAATATCTCATGATCGTTTTGCCACTCCTTCCCTCATTTCATACAGTGCTGAAGGCTGTTCTAACAAAGGTCAAGATATTTACAGCGTTTATGCACATTATATGGCAACATCTTTCATTCACATTTGCAACTCTCACATAATTATTTTTGGTATTTTGGTCCATTTAAAGCAGTGACAGAGAATTCAGGGAGCTCCTGAGCAGTGTCACAGATGGAAATGCTCTGCAGATTCCCTCAAATTCCCCAATTATTCACAATCTTTCCCTTCAAGGCTTCCCTTCCCAGGATCAGCAATTACTAACACGGTAATATATGCATTCCTGCAATATGAAACAAAACAAAAAGAAGCAGAAATCAACTATGTACAAATATTTTCTTTCAAGCTGAAACAGATGCCAATACACCAAGTTCAGAATCAGCTGAATTTCTGATATTCTGAGTTCGGAAGATTATTCTTTATCCTTACAGAAAAACTAGCCATCAGACATTTCCATCTTCATAATTATTCTGTTACCAGCCATAAGTAAAAACTCCAGAAATATTATACCCCTATGTACCACGAGCTTATGCTGTGTGCATGAGCCCCACAGCACTAAAAACACTTTTAAAGTGGGTTATCTTTGCCGTTACTCCTTGAAATTAATTCCAACACAGTCATGACTGTGCAATGACTATGGCTTTTGGGCTTTTCTGAGCTGTAAGCCAGTAATTTCCACAGGCAATGATATTTGTTGTTTACAGCCTGGTAGACAATTTGTTCTCTCTTCCCAAACAGCATTGCTTATGAGAAACACTATAAATTCTTCATCACATACCTACACAATGACATAGTCAACTATATTTGCCTTGCAGCCAAGAAGACTCCCTCTTCTCCTTGATACCTCATCTCAATTTTTTGTTCAGTTCTCATTTTTCACAACACTATGAACAGGTATGGTCTGAGGCATGTCCACACACACCTGCTGAATAGAACTCCACATTTACCAGCAGTCCCTGACAGACACCCCAGCCCAGACATCCAAAATGAAGGCAGACAAGATGACACAACAAAGGCAAATCACACGTTCTGTGAGTTGTGATTAATTTTAATTTGTTTATAGCCATACACTAAAGATGGAATTTCATATTAGGAAAAACTTTTTTGCTTAAAACCTAAGTCATCATTCACATACTTTCAATAATTTCTCTGCTACAATCAGCTGCTTTTTCAAGGACTTGGTCAACCTGAGGATTATTCTCTTTTGCAAACCACCTGTTTTCTCCCATTCATTTTTGCAGTGAAGCCAAGGGGGACAGTTTCCAATGTCCCTCTCTGCTCACTCCAAAGCCAAGGGGCTAGCCTGGCCACCAGCACAGTGTGGGGCTCAGCACCCAGGGTAGCCCCCCAGAACTGACCCCAGCCTTTACGCTTGCTCACAAATGCTGCTTTGCTGGCCAAACTCTGCTCTCAGTTACTCTGAGGAACTTCATTGTAGGCAGAATTTGGCCCAGGGGAGTGACAGGGGGGTCACAGAGGGGAGAAGAAGACATTGATCAGAGTACTTGTCTGATCTGGGATAGTAGGGAGGGGAAATTTACATTTTTAAAAGCAAACAAAGGGAAAAAATTACAATTAGTTAATTTTTGGGTTTACATTTGCATTCCATCCATTTTTGCCCTTTGTTATGATTATGTTGTCTGTTCACTTTTTATTAATCAGTACAAAAATATAAATACAAGCTTTATTTTAAACACTGAAAAAAAAATAAAAAAAAGAAGAAATATAATTCACACCTTTCTCCCTAAACAATATATTACACAACAGAAGGCAGAGAAACCCCCCAAACCCATGAGATTCTCCAGTCATCCGAAGACATCAAAAGTGACATCAGTAGTTTTTATCCTGCCACCAAGAGCTGCTTTCCTCAAAGGTTTCCAGCGAGCTTTCTCTGTGCCCTCCAACACGGACAGCCACCTTGGGATGTTATGACATCCTTGCACAGCGTGGCCCTCTGGGTGCTGGTTGAGACCAGGCTGGTGGGACCCTCCACTCAGCAGTGACATACATCATTGCAATGCACGACAATTTCACACAAGAACAGTCTAATTGCCACATCTCTTTTTTTTTTTTTGACCCAAGCTCATATTGCCTGGCAACTGGCTGCTACAAATCATCATGCATAGGCTCCCAGGGCCATGGAAAATTCATAATGTCCTGTCATCACCGCCCACCTTGCCATCAAATGTCTTCCCACAAAATACCCTAGGAAAATAGGGGATTCTGTATTGTAGCTCTTCTGAACAATTGCAAATGCTAAAGAGTGCGCTTGCTCCATTTTTAAGCAGTCACCAACGACTTCACTTGCATTTTAGGCATGTTTTAGGAAAAAAAAGAGAGCCTGATCCCTTTGCAAGAATGCATTGTTTCTGGAAGGCATCACGCTAATAATGAACAAAAGAGTTACTGTATACAAGCAGGCTATAGGTGACATTTCAAGATATAAATGATTATTCTTTTCTTTACTCTGACAACTTCCAGGTTATCAATTGTTTTCTAAGCATTTTAGGCTCCATGAAACTGGCATTATGGGGAAATGCTATTGTTTACCCTTTCACACTTGACAAAAGCAATTCCCACGTGAAAAGCAAGTTTAGCCGTGGGACACGGTCTTGATACCTAAAGGAGGAAATAGTCTGGTGAGTTCCCAAGCGCAAAGAAACTGTCATGTTGTCACCCTCTATTTTAAAAGCACAGCCACTTTGTTCCTTTGCTGTAGCTATTTTGGTCATTGTGGTCTGTTTTGTTATGGCTTATGTAAATGCTATATAAATGATCGATCATAAATGTAACAAAAAAATAATAAAAGCTATGTATTGTAAAAAAATAAAGTTATCAGATCTATTAAAAATAGCAACTTCTTCCTTATACAGAATTTATAGCACACAGAAACATCTCATAGCAAAATCATGACAAAAGAAAAGAAAAGGGGAAATGCTCACAAGGAATTCTTAGGTTGCCCTTAATTGTCCTTCAGCAGTTTTGCTGGTTCTTAATCCACATAATAAATCCAATTGTCATTTGCATACCAAAAGCAATGAATATCTTTAATGGCTTCAATTTTGAATTCGTATTTTAAAAATGTATTAACTAACCGTGCTGGCTAAAACCTTGTCAGTCATGTTAGTGTAACATTCCTCATTTAATAAAATAATTACAACATTACAAACTCCTGAATCTTCAGGCCAGAAGCAACACTCACACTTTTATCAGTAGTTTTTAACATTAGTGCAGAACTGACTTTAAAAATTGACCAACACAGCAACTGGAAGTCTACCTGGATTTATTTGGAGAAACATGATTCATGTCTGTCAGTTGTAAATCATCATTATTATAAATGATATGATAGGTCTGTGCATTATATCAACATTTTTATTTCTTCCCTGCATACTTCTTTTAGAAGATACTTTTTTAAGATTAATGTACTTTAGTGTAGAAAATAATTTCAAATAAATAAGTATTAGAACTTGCTCAGCAGGTAATATTTATAAGTCCATCAAGATCAGATTAAAATAAAAAATATGTAGTCCAGTCAATCTCAAACTGAATTGTGCTCATTCTGCACATTCAAGTTAGCTTATTAAATGTCCATTGTTGACTGAAAACAGCAGTTTTTAAAGTTAATCAGTTTATTCAGCTTTGACACTTTTGATGAGGCTGATATCAAAGCAGAAGAAAAGATTGATCCAAAGTTTTCCTTATTGCTCAGAAGGAGACAGCAAGAGAAAAAAATAACGACATGTAAAATGTAGCACAGGGGATCTTCCAAACCCCAGCTTCGTTGTGCCTTTTCAAAGCAGAAAACACCCGTCTGAACTCAACTGGAAGCTCACGCGTTAGGATTTTGTTTGCTATTCCTCCTATTTCCAACCCATGGGGAAACGAGCACCACCTCAGGGCTTGAAATGTAGCAACAGCAATAAAAAAAATCAAGATGATATGAGACATCTCTTACTGTTTTTTAATGAGTCCTTTAATGTTTTACATTGCTTTGTGTTGTACAATCATTCCTTGTGCTTTTATATTTGAGGATCCGAGAGTAAACAGCCTTTTTGTTGCAGTGCTCACCTCTGATTGTAACGTCTTTCTTTTGAAGCACTTCTTTCCCCGTGTATATGTTCCTTGCTCGGCAGGCATAGGTGCCTGAGTGCGCCAGGGAAACGTTTTTGATGGTCAGAGTGAGGGTGATGGAGTACTCCCTGTTGTGAGATTTCCTTGCTTTCGTCTGATTGTTGACTGTCCTAGGTAAAATCCAAGCAATGTCTTTGTACAGGAATTTGTTGGCCGAACAGGACAATACCAAATTCTCTCCTTCAATGGGCATTTTTTCCAAACTAATATGGAATCCGCTTGGTACATCTGTCAAAAAAATCAAGAACACTTTTTAGTTTATATGGAACTTATGAGCCAAAATTAACACAGCATATATTTTCCCCTTTATCAGGAAGTCTTTGAACTAATCAATGTTGTTGTCTTCCTGCTCAGGCCTGTAATCTTTCCTTTCATACACTCAAGCTCCAGCTATTCTTATAATTTGTCTTGGAGCTATGATACACTTGCCCTCAGATGTCAGCTGGTGTAAACTGAAGTTGCTCTTGGAAGTAATACATTTGTATAAACGTTGTGCCAAGTTAAGACAGACTGGGGCAAAGTACCAAAAGCAGAATTATTTAAAGACAGCTCAGTGGGACTATGAAAAAGGAGGAATATTCTGATCACAGCTCCAGCTTGTGAACTTCATAAGAGAAAAGAATTCTCAAGAGGGCAGTATAAAAATACTGCATTTCATCATACATCATACTGTTTTCGTGTTATTCACAAGTATTCAGATAAAGTATGTCTACTTCTTAAAAATGTTCATGTCCTGAGAAATTGCAACATCTGTGATCACATGCCTGAGATTTCTCTCGGAACAGAGGTGTTTAACCTCCCCACATTTAAAGCCTACCAGCCCCCCAAGAGGTAAGCAGAAGCAGTACCCTCTGCCCTGGGTGGCCAGCTGTGCGTGTGGGCAGCACAAGGATGAAGATACTATTTTTAGGTGGCTTGGCATTAACACAGGTGAGAGATATTTTCACCTGAGAGAAAACAAGGATCATTGCATTAACAATTTACTACATGTGCAGACATGGGTTAAGTTTTCACTTCATAGAAGATGGTTCAGGCAGGAGTCGCTTAGCCAACAACGAAGAAAGTCCTACTTGAAAAGGTCCTGTTTGCAGTTTATTTAATGTCACTTGCAACTTCCTCCACCTGGGGAGTGGTGCAGAGCTGTGGTGGTGTCAGCTGCCTCCCAGCTGCCTCCACCTGGGGCTCATCCCTCCAGAGAGGCACTTACACCACTGACCTCAGTGAAAGTAGGAGTGAGTTCCTGAGAGAAAGCACTTCCAAGTTTTACTCCTAGAATGCAACCTCTCTTGGTTTATTTGTAGCCAATATTCTGATAAAGTCATTTCCTTCTTCTCGGTCAAGTGACATCGACTGTGGCCATTTTCAATTGTTCTTTCACTACTAATTGCTACGGCACTTGGCTGTAAACTTGACTTGAAATCCTAAGAATGGCTTCTTCTTTCATAAGGGAGAGTTATACCTTCTTTTCTTGTTTCTTAGATCATGAACGGCTCAATGCTGACTTCCATTCAGTTCATTCTTACCAGTCTTGCTTCAGGCTTAATGTCACTTCAGCAGGAATGTGTAAAAAACACCTCTCAAGTGAACAATATCCCACATATTCTTTCATTAACCTCTCTCACTGTTTGACCAATCCACCAGAAAGCTTCTCCCTAAATCCCCACATTGCAAACTGATCGACCTTGTCTTCCAGGGAAATCATGACCATAACCTGCTCACTGCTCTCTGCCTGTTGGAAGCCTGGCATCAGTTATTCACCTTAACATCCTCTTCTCCACATCTAGCCCTGTTAAACAGAGGGCAAATGAGCTCCTGCTAGTCCTGGATTGAAATTTCTCCTGACAGTAGATGCCTCCCAGGGAGAGGTCTGATTTCTGCTGGTTGAACTCATCGTGCCCCTGCAGTGGGAGCAAAGTGTGTGCCTGTCATTGGCTGTAGTTCAGGTGTGCAGTCCAAAGATCAACCTGGTGGAGGCAGTGACACTAAAATATTAGAATGGGTTTTAAAGCCTGGGGGTTAAATTGTTCCACTTAAGTTCCATTGGGATACCACTTTTCTCTCTCTGGCAAACAAAGCTATAAGAAAATCTTCAAATATCATGAACTCATCTATGAGTGACTACCATCAGGATCCTGTTTGATATGTAAGAGTGTGTGGTACAAGACTCTAATCCCAATTAAGAACAGGTTGACTGGAAATGCTATTAAGATGAAATATCTCCACACATGGAGTATATCATATTTAGCCTCAGCTGCAAAACATGTAGACATCTACTTGAATATATATGTTCTGTGTTCTGTATGTGAGCAAAAGTTTGCAAAGTGAGCAAAGGTGACAAAAGCTTCTCCAGAGGGCAGTGAGAACCATTCTTTTAAGATGGGTCACATTCTAGAGATCCTGGTCCCTCCTGCTTAATCATGAAGAGATCCTACAGGATCAACTTAGGCTTAGATATCTAGCTCTAAGATTGAAGTTAGATTAAATGAATCCCATACTTGATTTTGTTAAAAAGCATTAAATTCAGATACACTTAAAAACAATCTAATGGTCAGCATTTTGAATATGGATAAGTATTTGGAGGAAAGAAGGTGCTGCACGTGTACTCACAGTACATTTCAAATTGTTCTGATGTGTGTTGGGAAAGCCAGGGTATTGGTTAGAAATAGTGGTAATTTTTGCTTTTGAAGATGCCAGTACTCAGTAAAAGCTAAGAAGATACAAGCAGAACTCTTAAGATGAAACTAAAGATCCCTGGGGACTGAGGCAAATCAACTATTTTTAGCTTAAAAGGATAGCATGCCAACAGAATAATATAGTTACAACTACTTTTATGTTGTCAGGTCTGGAGCTCTTCCTCAATATGCCTTCTGTGAAGACTATTTTCTGAAAAAAATTAGGGACAAAAGAAAAATGCACAGGATTCCAGAAGAATCATTTGTTTAAAGGCTACGAGACTCCTAATATATGACACCTCTCACCAATTGTTACAGGCTCAGGCTAGCTAAATAACGTGGCTGGGAATAATGTAAAAGGGTTTTATTTACTTTAGTGATTTGAAGCTTCCTGTGGAAATAGCTCCCAGGTTTCCTGATGGAAGATTTTGTTTATCTTTGCCAAGCACCATCAGGAATCTCAAAATAAAATGCGCTTAGTGACATTGGGAAACCAGGGAGATAAGGCAGAGCTGTTCCTGTTTCACCCTCTGTAATTGCAAACACACCCATGGGCCTGCTGTGTGCCAGCAAAACAGCCCAAAATGTAGGGAAAGGGGCAGGCTGGATGAAAGCATGCTAATACAATTAAATTTGGCATAAAGGTGTTGTTACAGAGACTGCTTCCATACCAGTGAGCAGGAGAGCTTTCAGAAATCACCTTTCTAGATTGCTTTTATATAAACTTCACAGCTACTTTTGAGTCATGAACAATGATTTGCTTTCAGAGCTCAGCCAGTGACAATACACAAATGCCCTTCATCTGACAGAAGCCATAGGAAAGCTACTCCAAAGCCCATGGTCCTTGTGTCATACACCCTCAGGCACAGTGTATAAACTCATGTATATCACTCTCAAACTTCCTACGAAAAAATAGGCAGGCTTCACTTTAAGCCCAGAAATAATGATATTTACAGTAACTAAAGAAAGTGCTTGTTTTTCCTAGGTTCTCTCTGTTGGCACTAATTTCCTTATGTTTACCTTTGCCTGAAGGAGTGGAGCTTGTCACCTCCAAACAAGAGCTGCTGTGACACGCTCTTCCACCACCTTCCTAATGGTTTCTGCCTATAAAGAAGAGACCCCTCAATGCCCTGCAGCCACCTCACTGGAGTACGTGCATTTTCTCATCCCCAGGACAAGGGCTGAGGGAGATTACCTTCAAGGAAAGGGATCTTCCTGTTAAGAACAGGCTTTGTCTCCATCTGCTCTTTGGAGTAATTTCTGGCATGGCCCTTCTACAGAGGGCAGCAGCTCCTTTTCCTACAAGGAATCATCCCCTCCTGCTTAGACACTTTTCTTACTTTTAGACATTTCGTGTGGCTCAGGCTGACTTCAAATGGCGCCAGCAGACTCAACAACATAAGATAAACTAGCCCTAAGCTGTCACACAAAACCTGAAGTATTGGTTTTGGACTCATCAGAAGGAAATACTTTTCAGTGTCCTGTTCACATCCATCAGCATTTGAGGCTCCCAGGTTTTTACTCCCTCAGTGCATTTTTCAGCACATTCTGGACATGTTTGTTTCTTGATGTGAAATACAGGCTGTACCCAGCCACAGCAGTTTGGTCTCAGCCTGATGGAGGAGAATTATGGTGAGCATAACCAGGATTTTGTAGGAACCAAACAACAGTATTGTTTACACTGCTTTCAGTCAATGCAAACGCGTGTCAGAGGATGATCAGGACTTTCCATGTCACACAGCTGAAGTGCTCAGCTCCAGGAGCTCATAGGGCAGATGCATTTCAACTTCACTGCCCTATAAAGAATGTTTGCCACCACTCAAGATGTTAAGAAATTCCAAGCCGTAATAAAGCTGACACTCCTCTTTCTGAACACCAGCCAATATAAGATTCTTCAAAGGAAAGTCATAATATTCTGCATGTTCTCATGCAAGCTTTAGTATCAAGCAGAAGGATTTCCTTCCATCCTTGGTTAAGATCTGAGAATGTTAGGTCTAAGTAGGAAAACTAGGTCTTTCATGTCACTGCACTAAAATACTTGAAACCACCATCAAAACTTTGAAAGGGAGATTTCGATACCATGAATGGGGTCCATCAAAGTACATCTTTATTTGGTTTCAGGGTCTTCCATGTCATATTGTGAAAACTGAGGAGTAAGATTTAGAGCAGACCAAATTCAGCATCTTGCATGTTGAAAGAGCAGCATTCTCAGTGAATGATTCTCAGTGACTTCTCAAAGTTTCATGTGAATACCCACAGAAAGATGGAACTATCATTGGCATGTTAATTTATGGAGAACTGCGTGGTGTTCAGCTTTCTGTCCAAACACACACAATGTGAGGATAGGGATGAAAGCGAAACTGAGAGTGGGGACAAGAGTCATCTTCAAGGTGGCAAATGTTCTTGTCACTTCCACTAATAGAACATGGAGACGTTTTTCTTGTTTCTGTACTTTAACAAACAACCTGCCTATGTGTCACTTATCTGCTTATACTTCTCATACTTCTTACCATTTTTCTGTATTTACAGAAAACTGGCACTTTCTAAATGTGAAAGTGTGTTGTGACATGGAGCTTTAGCAGCTGTAGACACCCACAAACGAAGTCTGCCAGGTGAAACTGTACAAGCAGCACAAAAGTGGATACCTAAAGAGAAATGATGAGTGCTTGCAGCGGTTCCCATCTGCTGGCATGGCAGGGAGTTATGCTGCCTCCTGGTAGCTAAGGCCTGAAATGTTGGTGAGGCAGTGCCACAACTTGTCAAGAGCACTTATTACTACTCATTGATACTCTTCTGTGTGGACAAGAGTGATACTGCAAGCTGGATGGAAGCCAGATGGAATCAGGGCCGGTTCAAAGAAGACTACAAAATCCTGGAGGTGCCAGAGAAAAGTATAGGTGCCCAAGCTATCTTTTCTTCTCTTTTACCAGTTAGAGGACAGGGTGCTCTCCTGGAAGCACGAAACCAGTTCATCTGTGTCAACAGATCTACTCGGCTGGGGACCAGCTCTGTGGAAAAGGACCTGTGGTGGACAACAAACTCAGCTTGAATGAACAGGGTGCTGCCGTGGCGAAATAAAAGTCAACAGGCTGATGGGTTGCACCAGCAAGGGCATCACCAGCAGAGATAAAGAAGTCATTGCACTCTACTCAGAACTTGTCAGGCCACACCCAGAAAACTTTGTTCACTTTGGGTCCCCTCTATACAAAACAGATGTGGGAAGTCTGGAAAGGGTCCAAAGAGGTGCCACAAAGATGATCAAAGGCCTGGAAAGTCTGCCATATGAGGAGAGGCTGAGAGAACTGGGTTTGTTCAGCCTTGAGGAAAGGCTGTGGGGAGACTATCAACACGTTCCAGTATTTAGAGGGTAGCTACAAAGAAGCTGGAGACTCCTATTTTACAAGAAGACCCATGGAAAATATGAAGGGTAATGGGCACAAGTTACTCCTGGGGAGGTTCTGATTGGACACGAAGAGAAATTTTTTACAATGTGGACAATCAGTTATTGGAATAATCTCCCCAGGGAAGTGTTGGATTCCTCAACCTTGGACACTTTTAAGATCCATCTGGCCAAGATGCTGTGCTTTTCCCAAGACAGGTTGAACCAGATGATCCTTGAGGCCCTTTCCAACTTTGTTTTCTATCACTCAGCTAGTCAGAATATCTTAAAAATACAGAGTTTGGACAGGGGAACATTTTTTGAAGCAGCTTATTTTATTTTTTTTACTGAATTTATTGAGTGTGTTTGATATCTCTCAGAATAGAAATAGAATGAGTTTTGCTAAAATCACTCATCAGAATTGTAAGCAAGAGAATGACAACATAAAAACTCCGGAGATTACAATTTGGGGATTAAAGCATCTAAACATTTTAGCCTTTTTGCTTTTTCTCATATTTTCAGATGAATTACATTTCTTTAATGATCTACCCTGAAAACAGCCAACAGCCTAAGTTCATAAAACTACTGCTTTATAAACAAAACAAAACTTTTGACAGAAAACAAATCCTTTGTAATTGCATATGTAGATTTTATGTTGATGAATAACGCAGTAGTTATTCCCAAGAACACATTGTGGCCTTTTTTCAGTAATTCCTGAAGTAAAACATTAAGTCATTTGTTTGTGAAAACTCCAAACACATCTCATAATGCAAAAATAGCGGAAAGCATACTCATACTTGAGTATAACATGATAGGAATTCTCAGTGCCATGGCACAAAATGACATTCCAGGCTGTCTTTCTCAGAAGAGGAGACGAAACCCTGTGGTCTGTATCCTGGCGCTTTTCCACCTATAAGTTGCCATTGCCCCTGAGATCTGTGAAGGGTACCCCAGGTGTCTCTAGCACCATGCTGCCTGCAGACACGGGCATTGTTCTAGAGACACTGTGTTGTGACATATCCTGGTGGGCAGCAGAATGAGGCTGTAGACACTGTCAGTGTCACACATGAAACTGGCTTACTGGTGGGCGAAAAATGCACTAAAATTTCATGTACAGAATGACTGCAGAGATGAACCAAAATGGGGAATTACTCATTGCTGTATTTGTGAGTAATTTCTGTCATGCTTGATACTTGAGGGAGGAATGAGTCACTCACCAATTTGGTGTCCCTAGAAATCCACACCAGGTGCTGTGAAACCTACCAGCATCACCCAAAAGCATGGTATGAGCTTACAAGTGCATACATCATGGCAATTCTGAAACTGTGGTATATTAAAAAGCCACAACAGCCTAACAGTTATAATTCCAGGATCAGGAAACACATTTGACTCTATAGAGGAGTAGATCTTACCTGTTACAATAAAACTGACATTTCTTTCAGATTTTCCCACTTTATTGGATGCCACACAGCTGTAGATTCCTGAGGATTTGGCTTCAGCTACAACAAGAGTGCTAGCAGTCTGCAAAAGAAAGAAGAGGTTTGGCTGTAATTGGCTCAAGAACTCAGTTAAAGCTTGCCTTCTCTTTTTCCTCAGTCACCAGTGACAGTCCCATGATCCACTCTTTCCATTCGTTCAGTGATGGGGCTGTTTAAAGGAGATGTCACCATATACAGTTTTGCAAAGAATAGAAGAATAACAGGAAACAAGCTCCTTGTGTGACCCTTATATCATCAAAGCCATCATGACCAAAAATCTTTGAACGTGTCTTTCAGATTGATTTATTTCTCAGTGGTGATGTAATGGTAAGCTACAAGACATGAAGCACGACACAGTGTGTTTCACACAAGGAGATAAGCAGCCTGTAGGAGAGCCAGACTGCAAAGGGGATAGGTGAGGCATGCCTCAGGCATTTGGATAATCCTGGGAGAAAAAAAGTAGCTCAATTTGGCACTAAACAAGCTTGATTTCTTTCATTTCCCCACATATGTGTCAAGTGAGACAGAGCAGCAGCAAAAGAGATGTTTTCCCATCTTCTTTTGTACTATTTCCTGTTCTTGGACTTAATATTTCTATTATTAAATAATAATATGTCAGTTTTGTTTATGTTATATTCTATCACCATCCTAAGAAGTCCAGCACACTAAATATTTTCTCAGTTATATGGCTTGAAAAATAAGACCTTGAAAGGCCAGGGACCAAAACCACCTAATGTGCCCTTAGAAACACAAAAAAACACTATAAGGATAAGAGTTATACTCTGAGGGTGATGGAAAGCTATGGTCTTATGGCTTGGGCACTAAGCAGAAGATGAAAGTTATACAGAAACAAGTGACATGCCATTCTGTTATGGAGCTGAGACATGAGGCATGGACATTTACTTCATCAGTGTAATGTGCTCCTAGTTACAACTTGGTAGCTTAATTTTCTGTCTTTCTGTTGCCATTTTACTTGTTCTGTAAAACATGGTTTGGCTGGAGTTACGGGCAGAGCTGGGACAGTGACAAAAGGAAATTGCAGGGCTTCAGAATTCTACTGTTTGGAATTGTTTGGCTCTTCTAAAAATCTTAAAAATAAGTTCTGTGCAATTAATGCATTATTTTAAGTCTGGCTGATTGCTGGAGTTCAGAGACAAGCACAAGATGGTGAGGCAGTAATAAATAAGAACCAGTTACCTACATTTTTACATAAACTCTGACCAAACATTTGTGCTGCTTTCGTCTGCTGCTGGAAGAATCCATAGCTATCCCCCAAACTCCTGTTGAGCCCCTAAATTATATGGATTTTCTGGTTTTCCAAAGCCATTCTTTCATAGAAAGAGTCTATTACTTTTCCTACTGCTCAAGCAAACACGATTGAGGCAAATCATTTGGTTTTGACTAATTTTTTTTAGAAGACTTCACTATGGAAAATTCACTTCAACCACTGCTAACAGCACCTCTACCCTGTTAAAGTGTCTCAGTGGCAAACTACCTGTCTGCTGACACACTACAGAATATTTCTAGCTATAATTGTTATAAAGGACCTTTTTGGATCATCTGTGAGATGAAAGAGGATCAGTAATACCAGATAGATAATTATAGCCCTTAGAAAAAAGCCATCCTGTTTTGCTAAATTCAGTAGGCTGACCTCTACAAATTTCTAATTATAAAGGCTGGGCCCAGCCCTGTCCATATTTTGTCATTCTCTGTGAATTTATTCCAGGTTCTAAACATAATTTTTTAAAGTGTGGACACAGAGCACAGTACCAGGATTCCTGCATCTGTTTATCAACACTAACTCAGACCAGAAAGAAGTCCCAAAATGTCTACCACAGAAGGCTAATGTGGGTGGTTAAAAACTGCTTCTGCCATCCCAGACTTTCCACCAAAAAATAGCCTTTTTTCTGCTAGCTGGTGTTACCTCACAGCAGCTTTGCCCAGGAGGCAGCTGTGACCTAACATGCACAGTGGAGGAGAGTGAAGTCTTTGCTCTCTGACTACAGAACACCTGTCTTTACCATACACAGAAGCAGAGTGTTTCTGAGCCTAAAAACACATGCTGACTATTCCTCCCACAACTACTCCAAAGGTTTGAAAAGTTTTTGGAAGTATCAGACTGCATTTTGTCCTTATATCATTAGTTATTACTTTTTAATGGAAACTTGTATGTACTATCTTGAGTTTTACTGCTTCAGCCCACTGTGATGTGATTATTACTTCTGTCACACTAAGGATGGTGCACAGGGTTATGCTAAAGCAGTGTGACTGCAGTGGCTTGCAGATGATGCCCTTTCTCGTGCATTAAATTGCATTGAAAGACAGTGATTTAAACTGACCACTTTTCCCCCCAGCAGCCTTTTAGTTTTGACCAACTTACACTGTCCCAAATATTTCTTCAGTATGGGCCAAGGATCACTCCCAACAGGCAACTCCCATGCAAGCAACAGCTCTTTGGAAGGCAAGGGAAATAAATGCTGTGAACACAGGAGGTCTCAGTGCCGGAGAGCACACACTGGTATGTTTACTCTACTAAGGCAGAGAAAGCCGCAGTGTCTAAGAGGAAGTTAGACTGACTTTGCAACAGAACAGAATATTTTAGAGACAACATGTCTCTGTATAAATCTTTTAGCTTATAAATTAGTCACAAGGATAAGATAACATCTCTTTAAATAGTTTGTGAGCCCTCCAGTGGTGCAGTCTGTGTTTTTCATTGTGGATGCCAGTCAAAACTCACCAGAGAAGCAGTGTGTACAAAACTAAGCCTGGCATGTTGTTTATGGAGAAACCATGGCTGTTTGAGACCAGTTTGTGCAGCATGGCCCCTCTGTACAGCTATTGCTGCAAAAGAAGTAAAAGTTTTTGCAATCTTGTCTCATCTGACATCACAACAGGGAGTTTCAGGCCCTGGATTTGCAACTACATTATATACAGAAAGTCTAAATTGAGTTGGCACGATCAGACAGAACAGGCAAATCCCTCCTGGCATACACAATAGCTTGAGCATCATACGTCCACAAACCCCATTTACCACCAAAGTTTTGGCCCTTTATGCCCTTTTTCTACTCCCGTAATCTTAGCTGAAGCACAATGTTACAGCCTCATCTCAAAGCCAGAGGCTAGGGAATTAAGTCCTGTACTGCTGCCGCTTTGCTGGGCAAATAAAAGAGGCGTAAGGCAGAAATCCTAAGAGATGGAAGAGGAATTTACAGATTTGTTTGTGGCGGAAAATGATGAGGAAAAGACTGGGGAGACAAAGAGAATGCAAAGCAGCTGACATAATCATTGCACTTGGAGCCATGGTGGGCTGGTCTTTCCCCTGGAGGGTCTACTCAAATTTCTCTTTTCTCAAAGAAGCTGAGACAGAGGATTCCCAGTGCTCCAGCTGATGGCAGAGAAGGAAAAGAAGCTTTCAGAAAATGCTTGGCAACCTCACTCTTATGTGTCTCCCACATGCCCTGACTTCTTGAAACAGCCCATGTATTTAAAAAGCAAAATACTCCCCTTTCGACTTAGAGCAGGTTAGTGCAAGTCTGTCAGCTATTGGCAATTCTCTTCTAGTTATGCTTTTACGAAGAACTATTGGTTAAAAAAATAAAGGAAATAAATGAAAATATGCTCTCTTTATGCCCTTGGATTTATCTTTGTCTAAAGGAATATAATTTAGGGAGTTCCATATGTAAATATTGGTAGCGCACTGCTGGATTAGTCTGTTTGTGCCAAAGACATACGATCTGCATGCCTCACATGTTGGCAAGGAGCATCAGTGCAAAACATCTGGTCAACATGTTTCACCTTCAGGACCACCACGGAAGAAACACCAAAATATCCGTGACACGAGGACATGAGTATGTGCAGGAGAGCACCCACTCTCCCCGTCAGACAGAAAAATATGAGTTGCTGCTGTATATCAATCAGAGCTCTGTTTTCCCTCTGCATCCCATGCTGTCCCACAGCTCAGCAGCAGCAAGACCCAAGCTCTGCTGGTTTTAATCTCACCAAGGGCTTGGCTCCGCTGGTACCTCCCAAAGATTCACTTAGAAGTGTTGACAGCAATTCTAGTAGCGCTCGGGAAGGCTCCAGGAGAAGTTACAATGTGCTGAAGAGAGGCAAGTGGCGCTCCCACTGCTATCTTTAGCCTGGGTTCTGAGGAAGATCATACTCTCCGTATGTTCATCTGTCTGCCAGCCTGTCCATCTGTCTGCCAGTATACTCTCCTCCTTTTTGAATCCATAGTCCAGTTTCAACCAAAAATTATTGACAGCTCAGAGTTCATGAAATCTCACGCATTTCATGAAAACCAGCTGTTAGGTAGAGGAGAAAGATCAAAATGCTGCGGTAGTGAGCTAAACAGCTTTCTCTTCATCTTTGTGTTCCAGATGGCCAATCTGCACAGATGTACTGGCCAGACAGCTGGCATGTGTCAGGACTGAGAACAGACACAGCACATGCTTCTTCTCATCAGCAATGTGGGAACTCGGAAGAGAGGTAGAAGTTCAGGGCTTGGCATAGAAGATGCTGGAGAGATGGAACCCTTCCATTTTGCATGATTACACTAATAAGTCATGTCCAGGAAGGATTGGCTCTTCTGACTATCTAGCACTCCACTTTGGAGGGTTACAATTTTTAATGCTACCACCAGTCAGCCTGACCTATCTTTGCACAAGGGTGAGTCTAAATTTTGTCTTAGAGAATTATGTTACAGAGCCATTGCTTTCCATTTTTCATGAAGTCAAGAGGCTTTGTCATTCACAAGAATTTGTCATTCACAAGAATGACACTGGAACCACTAAAAATCTGTGTCAGTTAGGTATTCATGCAGTGGAAAACAAAGCCATGAATACATACATACATACATACATACATACATATATATATATACACACACACACACACACACTTTTCCACACACACACATATGCATGGTAAGCTCCAAATGCATGGTAAGCTCCAATTTCATGCATTATTACCCTTTATACACAATAACTGGAGACATACCCTGTGACACAGACCCAGCTTTCGTGGTACCTGCAATTGGTCAGAGGTACTCCAACGACTGCTAGCAGCAGAGGCACGAGGCAGTCATGGACATTCTGCTCCATTTCAGGCTCTCAATGAGTTAGTTCCCAAAAGCAAAAGGGTTTTGTCTCACTCCCTCCAACTTGTCCTTGTACTCAACTACCTTCCTGTCTACTGTCTCCTTCCCTTGGATTTATAATCCTTTCTTCTTGGCCCAGACTTTTTGCTTTCCCTCATCTGAACTTGCATTCTTAGTGGTCTTCCACACATGCTGCATGCCCAGGATCCTTGCTGACTGCTCCTACAGCACCCTGTCCCTTGTACCCCTGTGCAAGGAGTACCAAGTGCTTTTAAATCTGTTGATAAGGCAGTGTGTGCCTGCCCACCCGGGACAGAAGGCACTGAATGCACGCACTGCTACCAATTGTACACACCAGCACAGTGAGTGCACCAGATCTTTGGACCTTGTTGCTGTAGGTCGTTCACTGGCTGATGGTCTAAGGAACACTGACCACACAAAGAGTAATAATCAGTGTTAGCCCTCAGCTAGACACAGCAGCCAGCTTCAACTGGGAACACAGAAGTGATGGGTGTTAGTAGCTGAATGACAGAAGAGCGTCTGTGACCTGTTTACACGATAGGCCCAAGAATAGCTCAGCTTTGTAGGAAGTTGCTGAAATGTCCAACAAAACGAGAATGAAAACATTGGGTGGGGGAATCAAATCACTTCAAGGGTTGTCTTATGATTAAGTATTATGGCTTATGTTACGAAGTTCTTCCATTGTACTACTCGAGTTTCTCAATGTCCACTTAGAGAGGCTTTAGCGGAAATGTTACTAAAACACTGTTGTCACGGTTTCTCTGCCACCAAAGAAAAATATAGTACAGGCTTCCTGCACTGGTTTAACTGCACAGGCACAGGGCTTGAGGTTTTTCTGACTTAAAAATATACTTGTGGCTACCTTGATAACCACAGTCAAACAAACAACCGACCACAGCAAAGAGCCAAACTGGAGGCACTTAGATGCTCCCCATACAGGAAACAAGTGGAACTGGCACAATGTCTTTAGGATGGTGAAAACAGCTACCTTCATTGCTAAAGAAACCTGTTGATCATTCCTTGTTCATCTCTTCCCTTGCTTACAATAATCTCATCCTGTGACCACACGCATTTCTCCTTTCATGCTAACCCAAATGTGAAACTTTCGGAGTTTCTTCATTCATTTCCTACCTCTTTGTCTCCTATACCTTTGTTGTTTCCAATGAGCTCTGTTTTTACCACACTTGCTGTGTTGGGATGTGGAAGTGGGGTAGACACTCTGTTTATTTAGCAGGGCACCACTGATGTGGAAGTGCCTGAGAGAGCTGTTCAAGCTGCTTGCCGGAATAGAAGTGCTCACAGTAGCAGTCCATCAGAGACAGACACTTGTGGTGAGGTGCTGCATTCAGCGAGCTCAGTGCTATTAACACTCCAACAATATCGCTGCAGATGGGCAAGGCTTCTGTCTGACCTGTCTCTTTGAGTTTGCTCAGGGAGGCTGAGGGCGAGATTTGGGCTGCGATGAGTGAAAAGCCATAGACTCCCATGGATTTAAAAGGACAATCCTGGATGCTCTAGAGCAGCTTTGTATGCACTAATCATGCAACTCTCAGCTTGGCCAGAAGCCTGGGCTTAGAGAGCATTTTTTCACTTACAATAGCAGTCCAGCTGTGCTGGAAAAGCTACAGAAGAGCAGCAGAAATAGAGAAACTTTAGAAAAGCTGTGAAAAATCTGAACACAGAGATTATTTCATTAACCTCCCCCTCCCCAAAGGGACCAGGAAGAATAAAACAAAGCAAGGTAGACCTTTCTTTGTTGAACTAAAGAGCAAAAAGACAAGGACTATCATGAAGGACTAGTAAGTTTCACTGCAAATCCTTCCGTGCAAAGACCATTCCTTAGTTCATTTCTGGGCACATTTTTAAAAAGGGCTGCTTGCCAAAGACTTGCAGTTCTGCTGTGAAGACCCATTATTAGCATCTTCCTCCAGGGAGGAATTTGTTTGCTCTTGACTGGAAGTTGCTTTAACATTTCAGTCACTCCTCTTCCACTGTCTCCAAAATGCATGGTGCGCAAGGAGAATGAGATCTGGTCATTAGACAGCTCCTTCTGCACCCTGTGAACAGGTAGATCTGCACCCATAGCACAGCTATATGACTATGCTGGAAAATAATTGATTCTTATCATCCTGTACATCATTCCCCCTGTGGAATAGACTGTGTCTTCCTGTGCCTGAAATTATTTCCCTTTCCTCCTTCAAATCCCTTCATTTCTCATGTGCTTTTCTATGATAGTGTACCCCAGGAAACCGTTTGCTCCCATCTTTGCCTTGATCTTTAAGCACGTAGAGCTGGACAGCTAAATAGAGCAAATGCCTCACTGGGATCCAGCCTGTTCCCAAATGCTGGAATGGTGCCATGAACACCTGTGATACTTTCTAAATAATACAACAGCTGGAAAAAAATGCAGTCCCAGATCTGATTCTTGGCTGCACGTAAAACCCTATTTATTCTGCGGTGTGTGAAAGGGCCTTGACATGAGAACACCTACGGCTTATACCCATTTTCACATGCAGGAAACTGAAGGCAGCCATCAAGGAAAAGAGACCTATAACCTCAGTGCCCTTAGAATTACAGAAAGCATTTTGGTGTCATTAAAAATGAAAGGCCTGGAGTATGATAGGCTTGAAAAATTTATAATCTCTTTATCTATTATTGCCACAAACCAAACTAGCCTGTGAAAACAGACTCTGAGACAGTGTCAAGGCACCTGAGCTGCTCTGTAGCACAGGCCACCCAACAACGCTGAATCAGTCTCATGTCTATCCCAGGGAACTGCAGTTAATCTAGGGTATCCTTGAAGGATTTAGCTGATGGACAATCCTCCTCAGTCCTTGGCCCTTGGCAAGTTAATCTCATTGGCTTTCTCTTCCACATTAGACACCAACAGACTGCAGGCCCACATGCCCTTCAGAATTCTCTGCATCTCCCCATGACCCATAAAGGGATGCTTGACTTAGACTAGCATCTGAATTTAGATGGTTAACAGTGCTGGGATAAATCCCATCTTGCTGTCTCTGACTGAGACCTCTCAAACTTTGCTCCCTTAATCTGGATTCTTCTGCCTCTTTAGAATTTATTCCAAAAAAGACTTGGCCATCTAATTATCTAGGACCACATCTGTGAATAAACTGACTAATGAGAGTAAATAGTTTAATTCTCGTAGGAAAAACAACATGAAATTGTGCAATTGCACAAAATAAGGCAAAGATGGCCTGGAACCCTGCCCCATGTTCCTGAGGTACCCAAAGATACTTCAGACCATGAATAAGAGAGCAGATATGGTAAGTCCCAATGACACACTCTCCTGGCATGTCACCTTGATATGACTGCCTCCAGAAAAAAATATTCTCAGCAGATAAATACCAAGTATGAAACTTATCTGCATGTGTGCAGGTCCTCAAATCTAAACGATATAAAAGTGCTGGCTTCTTCTCTGTTACCCTGATAGCATCTCACAGTGCCTTTTCAACACATGCTGTCACACAGGAAGGTTATCTGCTCCTAGGAATCATACCTTATTTTTGCCCTCTATTACAGCCGTTCTCTCAGTGATGCTCTGGATCCTGTTTCCTATGTTGCTGCCAGCTTTCAGGATGAAAGATCCTTCAGTATAAAAGCAAAATCCGTGCCTGAAGACAATAAAAATTGAAATGTTATTGATTTGGTGATAGAAATTCAACACATAAGACAAAACAATTGTTTTGAAAACAGTGATCAGTCAGGAAAATTGCAGGTGCTGTGATGACCAGGAAAGTATAATTGCTTTTCATTAAATCTTGAGGTTTGGAGCTTGATAATTGGATTAACTTCCTCAGCCACTCCTTGAATATTAGCTCTCTGCAGTCAATGTTCACATTTAACCCACTGCAAACTGTGAGGCCAGCATTTACAGTCAGAGCTTAAATATAGGGCTGTACAAGACCAACATCTCATTTCCAATGCCCCTGTTTTCAGACATTGCCAAAACATGAGTTCATACTATTTTTAGCCTTTAACTCAAAACAAATTATATTTATTTCAAGATGCATTCTGTAATGCATTGGATGCTCTTTTACTCTGTGCAGGTTCTTTTTGCTTTAACAAAAGATTATGCCAGTTTTCATTTTTGAATATTTTTTTAGTTCAGTTTACAAAACAGTAAGATATTAATACTGAGGTTCAATGATTACAAGACACACAGTAAAAATATGCATAATCCTGCAAATGAACAAAATGAAGTTAAACAAAACTTTACCAAAGTGATTTAAATTATTTAAATTATAGGGATTTAAATGATAATTTAACTGGAAGAAAATAATGAATGGAAGCCCCAAAGAAAAAATGTTTTTGCCTTATGCAACAAATTGGCTTGTAATCAGAACATTCAGGTGTGGTCATGGCAGAGCTAATTTGTTTCTTAAGGTCTGATTTGATACACATGGAAATAAACACATTGGAATGCTTCTTAAGTGCTGCCTGACCCTGTTCTTCTTTGAGAATATCTAGTTCAGTTTTTCATCCAGAATTTAGTTGTTGCTTGTTCAATTCCAATGTCATTGTCAGAGATTAACCCTTCATCTTGATGAAGCTCTTTCAAATACACTGTGTTCTTTGGATTTGAAAGATAATGGCTGCAGTATCTGTAATCAAATAGTTCTGACTTGTATAACAGTTGTTTGGAGAAATTAATCTTAAAGCCCAATGACTGAAAAACAGAATATGATGCAATCCTGACCAAAGAATGAGGCTCATTTCCCTTCAGCCAACTGTGTAGTTTGCTTTGCACAGTAAACTTTGTGTTGTTTAGAATACCAATGGTACACCAACTTTACATGCTTGTTTTTAATTGTGCAGCTTTGCGTCAAAGTGGCCAATGACTTAGCAGATACTACAGCTTAACGAAGTAATGACATGGAAACTAACTAGGGCTGCCCAAATTTCACAATGTGCACTGAAAAGATCAGTGTGTTGAAAAGACCGAAAAAAAAAAAAAAAAACCAGCAGAAGGCAATGGAGATTTATGCATGGAGAGAGGGCAGGGAGCAGGAGCATGGGAGGAAAGCCCAATCTACACCATCACTTCTTTCAGACTCTGGCTTAAAAGCCAACTTCTAATACATTATTTTTGAGGCCAGGGTGAATGAAAGACAGGTGTATCTGTTGCACCCAGATGGAGAAAAATGGTTAAAATTATTCAGAAAGGTAGAGGTCATTTACTTTGCACATTTAAAGCTTTAAGAGGTCTGGTTCTGTAATAAGAATGAAACACGGAAGGCATAATAATTTGGCTAAGCTGGTAACATTTTCATGACATAGAAGATATCAAAACTCAACCTGTAATGTGCTAGGCACACAAATAGGCAGCATCAAAAGCATATTTGTGACTGGGTGCAATCTGTACAGGAAAACAGACACACCAAAATCCCACTTTACCCATATTAAAAGGTGCCTCCTAATTTATTTCCTTCTCCTATCCCCACAGAATGCATTTGTGTTTCTTTGTTACAGTGCTGAAATTCTGTACTTCTTACCATAGAAGCCCTTACACATATTTTGGTAAAGAACAGAAAGAAGGCACGTTGCATATTCAGAAGCTGCTTGTGCATCTCTGAAAAGCATCTCCAATTTCCTTTCATATAGCTCTGGAGGCTCCAGATTCAGTTGCTATTATTATACTCTTCCTCACAATTCCTTAGACAGACTGTATATATTTAATTTGCCATGTCTTGGGGATGAGGACAATGCTGTGTCTTGGCTAATGCACAATGAGGTGCTGATTACTCATTAATACCAGAATGCAAACCACCATCATAACTACAATAACATCACAATAACAACAAAAACACATGTAAAGTGCTAGATTAGCCCTGGAGGCACATATGTGAACTCTACTGACGTCACATTCCATTCTATACCCAAACTGGCAATTACAATTGCATTAATGCAATTAGAGTAGAAAATGGAATACACTCCATGGCTGTTGTCCATGGTTTTAATAAAAAGGGAGTCACAATCAAGCTGACAACAACCAACAGCACACAGCTGGAGGTGTGCGTACTGTTGTACACACGTTGGCTCCACTGACTGCTGGATCAGCAAACGCTTGCGGATCAGTTGCAGCACAGCTGCCAGGCAGAGTCTAGGACAAGACTCAGACTCATCCCTTTGGATGCAGAACCAGATGCTTCCTCTCACCAGCTGCCAAATCCCTTCATTCTAACCTCAAATACACTAAAATAGCTCAGAAGCAACACAAGAGCTGGGTCCACTATCCTGAGCTGGCTACTCAGGTTAATACTCCAAGTCATCTCACCTCTTACTGCTGCCAGGGGTGCCATGTGAAAGATGCTGCCTAAGCCAACACCATCAGGTAGAGATGAGGAAGCAAAAAATTAGTTGAAAGTCCTGCCTCTTAATCTGACCTCAGCTTCTAACAACATATTTTGTAACAGAAAGAGAATAGGTTCTGCTGAACTTAGATGTAATCATCAAACCAAATGTTTGTGTTAAGCACAGATGCTTGGAAAGAAAGAGGGAAAAATGAAAACACAAAAATCTATGCTGGCTGGAACCAAAATAGGCGATCATCTTCCTGTTAACTCGATTGATGTTTCATAGCGTGTCCTCACATAACATCAGCTACGTATTTGTCTGATTTCAAGGAAATTACCAATTTCTTCAAACTACCCACTCACATTGCATTTTTAGCAAGAACTGTCTGTGTTTGCAGGGAAATCCCACTGCATTTTAGATATTTGAGTCTTACTTCAGATATCTCCAGAGTGCATGAATTCCTGAAATGTTTTGTTGTGGGATGAGCCCCGGTGCTTTGCATCTTCAGGAAATCTTACAGCAGGGTTACTGCCGGGTTAATGAAGGAGCACACAGTGTGCGCAGGGATTGATAAACAAGCTGATATCCGCCAGCACATTTCTACACTTCTCTTTCACCTGTGTCCCTGCAGACCCTTTCATGTTTCTACTTTGTGGGTGCAACTCTGCATGTGTAGAGATCCCACGTAGCAAATGCTAACAGGGGTATGTACAAACCTAAGTTTATAAAAGTTACACAACCTTGGGGTGAGGTGATCAGACTCTGCTGCCTTAGTGGAGCGCTGGTAGAAGCAGAGCACTCAGGTTAATCACACCCTAAGTAGTTTTTCCCATGTGCCTGCATGCGTGCTGGCATGCGCATTTGCAGGTGCGCACCCACGCAGGCATGCATCAGCCTTTGTGTCATGAGCTGGAGAAAAAGGCTATTCTTTTATAAAAACAGGAGCTACTAATTCTCTGTAAGGCTTCCATAGAAGCCCAGCAGAGGGGAAAAAAGGGGTGAGAGTGGCTCTGCCTGTGGCAGGGTGAGTTCTGCTGTAAGACCTGCCCAGAGCTTTGGGAATTTAGATTAATTTGGAGAGGCGAGGGATGGTTTATGCAACCAGAAGTAAGTCCAGCTTTATAAAAAGTCTGTGATGTGTAGAGTTGGCACCCATGGGGTGAAGTGGCTGGGGGGAGGGGAGCCAGCCTGCTACTCAAGAATACATCAAGCCCTTGAGGAAGCAGAGTGTGCCATGTTTGAAGATGCAAAGATAATCACAGTGCTGGGAACCGTCTTGTGTAGCGGAGGAAGCCAAACAACAAGAGGAAAGCAGCATATGCTCGTGATTTCGCACAGGAAGCTAGCAGCACCTCCTGCCAAAGCGAGATAAGAAAACTCCCATGGCCTATTCTGGACAAGGCTGTGGTGATCAACCTTCGCTTCACACTGTCCTCGCTCCGCTCCGTGGCCCGCTCCCTTTCCTAATGAGTTTCAGAGCCCTCACTTCTATTAGCATGCAGCATGCCAAGCACAATAGCATGGTGTATTTATAACTAGCAACAGGGAAAAGTTTCCAGGGTAAGAGTGCACTTCATGTCATCCTGATGCATTTCACCGAAATCACACTACAAACCAGCTCCAAGCTGAAGTCCTGCCGATGAAAGTACTGGTCTCAGAAGAAAAGCTGCTGGGTGATTTATAGAAGAGCACGGGAGCTGAGGTAAGCAATTTGTCCAATTATTCATAGGGTGGTTTGACCCCGAGTATGACAATCAGTTCTGATTGAAAGCCCCAGATCTAGTCCATCCAGACACATCTTCCCCATCCCAAAGACATTACTGCAGTTTTCATTTCAAGCAGTGCAACAACAAATACCAGTGAAAGAGCCTCAAACCACAAATCAGTTGGAAAAATACTCATCTTCTGTCTCCTTGTCCTCCCACTTTCTCCCTCCCAAGTCCCCCTGTGTGATTCCGGAGGCCATTACAATCATTACCTCATGTAACATCTCATTCAACTCTCTAAGCATTCCTCTTGGCAAAGCCCCTGGCAGCCTCACTCACACTCTCATTCACTGGGGTAGTATTTGTTGGGAGGGAGAGGAAACCATCCTGTCACCAACAGTGCCCATTTTTTAGAGTAATTATTGGCAGCCACCATGCCTTTCTCAGCAGCTATCCTTTTTTTAGGGCAGCAATTCCTAGCAGCGTCAGGGCAATGCTACTACAAATCCAAGTTGGGCTGACTCACATCTTTTCAGAGGCAAGAATGACAACGCTAACGTTAAGATAGGAACTCTGGAAATTCCTGGAATTGCAAAGAATATATAGGAACT